CACGCACCCACGCACCCACGCACCCACGCACCCACGCACCCACGCACACACACACACACCCACACACGCACCCACGCACCCACGCACCACGCACCCACGCACCCACGCGCCCACACACGCACGCACGCACGCACGCGCGCACCCACGCACCCACGCACCCACGCACCCACGCACCCACGCACCCACGCACCCACGCACCCACGCACCCGCGCACCCGCGCACCCGCGCACCCGCGCACCCACGCACGCACCCACGCACCCACACCCGCACACCCGCACACCCGCACACCCGCACACCCGCACACCCGCACACCCGCACACCCGCCCACACACGCACACCCGCGCACCCGCGCACCCGCGCACCCGCGCACCCGCGCACCCGCGCACCCACGCACCCACGCACCCACGCACCCACGCACCCACGCACCCACGCACCCACGCACCCACGCACCCACGCACCCACGCACCCACGCACCCACGCACGCGCACGCACCCACGCACGCACGCACGCACGCACGCACGCACGCACGCACGCACGCACGCACGCACGCACGCACGCACGCACGCACGCACGCACGCACGCACGCACGCACGCACGCACGCACGCACGCACGCACGCACGCACGCACGCGCCCCCGCACGCCCGCACGCACGCACGCACGCACGCACGCACGCACGCACGCACGCACGCACCCACACACACACACACACACACACACACACACCGCGCGCGCACGCGCCCACAGACGCCCACGCCGCCCGCCCGCACGCCCGCACGCACACCGTGTGCGCATGCCAAATGGTGGCTGTTTCGGGAATACTTACAGGGCTGGTGCAGGGTCGAGAGTGTCAGTAGCAGCGAGTCAAGAATGTGGCTGGGAATGTTCCGTGATGGAGTCCCTTTTCAGGATCGAGGTGGTGGATATGTTTTGCAGGGACAAGGTGGTGGATGCGTTTTGCAGGAACCAGGTGGATGTCTTTGTCCGGAACCGCGCGGCGGACTCTCTTTGCAGGAGCCAGGTGATGGATGTCTTTTGAAGGAACCAGGCGGTAGACAGCATTAGGGGGCGGAAGTCTTTGTTTCCGGTACAAGATGGTGGTCTCCCTTGCCCAGAAACAGGTGGTGCATTGTGTTGAGCAAGGGCTGAGCCTGCGCAGCCATGTCGGTCTGGCCTGAGTGCGGCACAGAGCAAAGGCGCAGCAACAGCAGTTCCACGCCCCCACTTCTGTCCGCCGGAAGTGTTCTGGCAGGATGATGTATGTGTACTGTTAGGAGACGTGGGCTGCCACCAGGAGCAACGTCAGCCTGGCCGCGATCTTGCACGGGCGACGCTGGGCTTTCGCGGCACAGCCAGCCTCATCAACTGATCTTCAACACAGGGTTTGGTGACTGTGTTGTCTGTCGGTTGCCTGCCTGGCGTGTTTGACTGGCAAGCCATCCCGTGCCGAGCTGCGGCAAGCCAGGCGTGACAGTTTTTGTTTGCATGGCATTCTTGTTGCTGGCCAAGAAGGCAGTGCAGCGCATGAATCGCTTGGCTGGTGTCGTGGATGTCACTTACGGCATCATGCTTTTGGGCTGTACAAGCTCCCCATCAGCACAAAGCACCGCGTCAAGGGGCAGGCCCATGGAGAGCACGCCCTGCATGACAGGAGTACTGCCCACGATCTTGGATTGGTACCGATCAGAGCAGATTGACGTGGGACCCAAGCTGCGCCACGCATCACGACAATATTCAGGCTGGAAGAGCCGCGCTGAAAGCTGTTGGGCATATGGCGCCAAACATGGCCATGCCTCCGGCACACAATGGTTGTAGTACGACGCCACCCTGGAAACAAAGATTTTGATCATTCAGACGATCAGCGTTGCTGCAAAAGTTTGCTTCTGTGGTCGAAGGCGCTTTTCTCTCGCGACGGACGCACTTCTTGCACGCCTGTGCGTTTAGGACTGACCGTTGGCTGGTGTACTTGGCTCGCGCGTGACTGAATTAGTCGAAATGTCAGGGCCTCGCAGCGTTTATGCTTTGCACTGTCTCGGCTTGACAGTCTGTAGCTGCCTCTAGAAGCTCCAGCGCTGGTTTTGCAAGCTCTTTACATGGGACAGCACGGGGCTGTGGACCGTGGTCTCTCAAGCATCAGCCTTACACAGCCTGTCCTCTGACTTTGAAGAGGCCGAGCCTGGCTACCACCGCAACCATGGCACTGGCTGCAGGATCCGCTTGGGCTGCGGTGAAGCTTTGTCACCGGAACCGGCTGTCCAAAATGTTGCGTGCTGCTAAATAGCTCAAGGGTGCTTCAGCAAACGCGTAGATGTTGCGAGCGCCTGCGTCTCTTAACTATCCTCAGCTGATGTCTCTAGCCGAGGCCGGACAAAGCCATGGACAAGGTCCTGAGCGCCGCTGAAGCTGCTGCGTGCGCGGGGCGGAGCTGCAAGCCCCAAGGTAAAAGACTGCGCGACCCCGACAATAAGCACCTTTCCAAGAAAGTGGCTCACACCTTCTTGAACCTTGGCAAGGTGAAGGCGGTGCTCACCGTGCCTGTTGAGAAGCTGAACCTGCAAATGGACGAGTCCACCCATGTGCTCATGGTGGCTTTGCTGGAGGCTTCGCTGCACTCTCAGGTTGTCCATGTTGATCAGGTTGTTTTAAGGAAGAACCTTCCGGTCCAGTCTTTGGGCATTATGGAACGAAGTGTTGCCTTTTCAACATGGTGGTCCCTGATGTATCTCCTGAACCTCATCGGAAGGCCTGCAGAGCGCTTACGCCAGGATCGTGAGAGAGTAGACAGGGGTGAACCAGATCGCAGGTTTGCGTGTGCTCGGGAATCAGGTGGCTGACTGTCCTTTTCAGGAACCATGTTTTCAGGAAATGTCCCGCGGCGGTGTTGACTCAGCGTTCCCGACTCCCGACACATGACACATGCTCTCGACCCGTTGTTCTTGACTCTGCCACGCGCCCGCACGCACCCGCGCGCACGCACCCGCACGCACCCGCACGCACTCGCACGCGCCCGCACGCACCCGCACGCACCCACACGCACCCGTACGCACCCACACGCACGCACGCACGCACGCACGCAAGCACGCACGCACGCACGCGCCCCCACACACGCAGACGCACATAAATGGACTTCTGCGCGACAGCGAGCTGACTGATTTGGGGGTAATACGAGCCCTGCGATGAAGGTCCATTTGTAGATGTCATCAATTGAGGTGGGTGCTTCGAGTAGTGCACATTGGTGTTGGAGCCGTTTTCAACGTGTCTGCAAAATATATATGTATATATTAGCGTGTGTCATAATACGAGGGAAGCCCGTTAGCCTTTGTTTTCCTTCAATTCAATCCACTTCAACGACGGTACCTGCAACAAGAGCCCTCCCCGTCTCAAAACGGTGGCTTCAAAAGGTCGACCCTGTTGCATGGCGAGTCGACTGCTTAAGCCTGTGCCATGTTGCTGGAACAAGGATTTCCTTTGGTAGGCAGAAAAATGATGTCAATCGAAAGCAAGGCAGCAGGAACACTTTCTTGGTTGCACTAACCCCTTCACTTTCTTTTAAAGACAACCATAAGTTGCCGAAAGTTGAGACCGGCGCCTTTGTTGCAGTTTTGCATGAGTTTGTCAAGTGGTATGTTCTAGGCAAAATGACGCTGTTCTAACCCCCTTCGAGATCTCATGCCTTTTTGCAAAGCCACACGCTGGGTGTAAAGGCATTTTCCCATAGCTGTCGACTCAGCTTGATTGAAGCTAGACACTTGCTTCAGTATGGATCTTCTTCATTGACCCATGCGGTCCTTTCTCTTCCAAAAGGCACTTAGGCACGCCGGTTGAGTTCCTGAACTATGCGCATTGCCAGCCGTTACGGAGGAAAGCACTGACGGCAAGAGGAAGTTGTGTGCTCAGAATTGGTTTTCGTCGCCGGTTTTGAGCAGCGCCCCAAGCCCTTTTTTGTCATTTGAGTGGAGGGGTTTACCCGGCTTGGGCGCTATTTTGATCAGCCCTCATGACCAATTTAGGCTTGTCCTTGAGTATAACTCGGCCCGGTGTTTGGTTTGGCAAGCCAACCAAGAGTCAAACGCAGTACCCTTGTACATACACGTGTTTGGAACAATAATTCAGTGGCGGTTGATCTAACATGTCAATGTAGCTATTCAGTGTGGGCCACTGGAATGGGCGCACAACAGTGCCCAATTGCACCTATTGTGACAGTGGGCTCCAAATCACGATTGAACTTGGGAACCCTTGGCCCATAGCGTGTGGCTCAAAGACCAAGCCAGACACAAATTGCTTGCAAAGCAATTAGGTAGACCCGGAGCAGGGTTTCGTCCATTTCCCTTTTTGGAACCTCCAAAAGTGGCAGTTTCAATGGAAATGGCCAGTAAACTGCAACTTTGAAAGGGACATCCAGTGACCTCTGTACAGGAGCTGACACCCTTGCAAGCCGACAAAGGACTTGACAGGCAACAAGAGGTACGAGAGGATTTTGTCATGTGTTTGTTCGGTTATAACACATCTTACTTGAGCATTGCAAACCACTCGTCCAGCAATGCAAGGCTGATCACCAACAAGTGAATGGACGTAATCTCATGGATTAAGCCTTTATCCTGGCATGCTGTGAACCACCAATCTAGACAGCAATGAATTGATTAGCCACCGGAACGCTTGAGCATTTGCCTGCAACTTGCGGGCCATGCGCGTGGTGTCCACGGAGCATGGGCCCCACAGGCGAGCAGGGCTTTGGCTTGGGCTGTGATGGCGATTGCTGCTTGGTCTTAGAGCCGCGTTTTCTCGATCATGACAACGAATCCATTGACACAATCTTTGCGCAGGAAAGGCCACAACTCAGCGAGCAACAGCTCCGTGAGGTTGGCTCAGAAAGGGCAGTCACAACAAGCCACTCTCTGGGATCCCACCTTCGGAGCTCTCCTGAAGCGAATCGACCAGATCTGACCTTTTGGCTTCCCCCTGTTTGGGTTCCCATTTTGAGTGGCCCCCAACTCCAAGAACCTGTTCAGCTCCCTGAACCACTGCGAAAGCCAGTGCATCCGCTGTGGTTTGACTGTGGCGCATGTTCTTGGGCTGAGCAAAGGCTGGGCAAAGCTTTCCTGGATCATGGGTCCCTCTTTGGACTCGTTAAAAAAAAACGATAAGAACCATGGACACCCATGTGAAAACTGCTTGGTTGACATAAATTCCCGGCTAAATCTTTAGGGTCCCCAATTCAACTTCACACCCAAGTCTTTTGGGGTGTAGGGTCCATTTGGCCGGTGACTCACTGCCCCTTATCGCAACTCCCACCCTTCGACCCGAAGGTGCCGAAGGGTCTGGGTATAGGCTAAGTGAAGTTGAGTGAGCTTCTGTTTGGTTGCACCTGGGTGTGCCTTTTTTAGGCGACCCCCCAAATCAGCGTTTGGTTTCCCTAGTGGTCTGCCTTTCAATCCACCCCCAACCATGGTCAACTCCAACAAAGACGAGGCACCCCTGCTACATGGGGTCATGAAACTCGGTGGGGTTGGCGCAGTTCCATGGAGGCTAGGCAGCGCTGCACGAGCCTGGTGTGGACAAAAAACATAATCCCGGATCTACCTAGCAGAACTTGGGCGAAATGCCCTGGATCGGACGCACTGGGGTTATGAGGGGTGAGTTGGAGGATACCTTTTTTGGGTTAGTTTTAATTTGCAGACCCAACTGGAAAACCGCCAGTGTGTGGGTTCCTATGTTGACGCAACCCCACAACCCCGTTCCTCACCCGCTGAGTTGCGGACTTCGTACTTTGGTGGAAGACAGATTTAGTGGCAAAGGACCGGTGTGGTTAGTGTATTTGGCAAATCTCACGAGGGTGTGTCTTTCTTGAGGCTCGGTACCCCTTTTTTGTGGTGTTCCAAGCGAAACCAAAAGGAACGCTAAAAATCCATGTTGGGGGCTCCCCTCAAAACTTTGGTGCATTTTGCTTGGATGTTCGGACTTCAACTGTTTGCCAGCTAATGGGTTTTCCATCAAACCACTAAAAGTTATTCACTTTTAGCAGGTGAGCAGAAAGCAACCAGGAAGTGAGTCCTTTTCTTCTTCTTTTTTTTTTACAATGTTATACATATATATATACATGTATTATTTAAATTTCCAACAATTTGGTGAGTTTTAGAACCCCCGGACTTCGCATGAGAAATTCGACGTCGCCAGGTGAGAGGGACATCTCGGATGAGTCCGATCTCGGCCGTGATCCTCTTCAATGACGCCTACGAGGTGCGAGACCCGGTCGCCGCAGCCAGTGGAGATCAGGGCTTGGCCGGGTTTGATTTAGAGAAAGGACGACCAAGAAGTTGTTTTTTTCCAGGTAATCAGAAGGCTGGATCATGGAGCAGGTCCTCCGGCATGTCTTTTTGCGAGAAATGTGCGATTTGGCCCAAGGCGACTTGATGCAACGTGGCCATTTGGACCTTGGACCTTGAAGCGACTCCGTTGCCATGGTACTCACTAGACATTTTGCGCAAAGTCCAAACGAGACATTTCCCTTAGGGAAGCTCCGAGATTGTTTTCTAGATGGCTCCAATTGTAGTTTCATGGTGTTCGGCTTTCGCATAAAGAAAATATTGAAAGCGAATCTGCTACAACAGTGAATCTAATATTAAGTATGTGTTTTGCCGTTAAACCGGCATTTGCTTCAATTCCATTTGCCAGCGGTGAATTTGAATCCGAGGGAGGTTGTTTTTTTCATAAAACATTTTCTGAATAGGTTTTCCAGTTAGCCATGCATTAAATATCTGTTCAGTCTTGAAAATATGTTCAACGCAACCTCGACAAAATGGAGCAGCTTGTCCCAGTTATGTTTGTACCCTTGCAGGGGCCTGGGAGCAACACTGTTTCTCCTGATACGGGGAGCCAGAACGCCGTGACCAGTGGCCTGACTTTGAGGTATGTGAAACCACACACTGTTTAAACATCCTGGCGGACATTGCGGATGTTGCCTTTTCTGTATCCAACGTCGTACATGGTTTTGGCAGGAACTCTTTTGATGCGAATCTCTTACTTGTCTCGCAAGATGGCACTGGCATGGTGGCTGGCTTCGAGACTGGTTCTCCCTGTAGGCAAGCCCAGATATATATATATATATGGATTGAATGCCGAAGTTTCCCTTAGACATTGGGGTGCTTGACCTTTAGTCTAATGTTGACCCCCTATTATTCAACCCCAGTTTATTAATAGGGGGGTGGGGGCCCCTCCAAAAGTGAACACTCCCCGCTAAAACCAGGGACACCCCCATATTAATAAACAGGGGTTTATTAATTGGGGGTGTTCATTAGTGTTTAAACTCACTTCCTGAGTTCATGAACTTTAAACTTTTTGAGAAGACCAGTTTAGAGGTAAATATACAGTTTGGACCTTTTTTCGGGCCATCCACTGTGCTGGAGGTGGGAGAAGTGTGCAGCCAAGTGAACGCGGCCTACTGCCAGAAGCATGGCTACAGGCCGCTCGGTGGCGGTTTTTCTTGGTTTCTCGCGGCGAGGCGAGCCTTGTTTCGGACGAGAAGCGGGAAGGTTCCTCTTTAGGACTTTAACTTTTTGCCAACTAATGGGTTTTTTCAATTAAGCCACTAAAAGTTAAACTTTTAGCAGGGGAGCAGAAAGCAACAGAGGGTAGGTCCCTCCGAACACTCTAAGAACGTGTGTATGAGAAAGGGCATGGTTCCTTTGTAAGAAAAGGATCCGGTCGCCTATTTCAAGGCTAGGGGTGTTCTTTCTTCTTCTTCGAGGCTAGGGTTTTGTGAGCAACTCTTTTGTTGAGAAAAACTGTTTGGGTAGTTTTACTCTGGCAGGCATGCCACGCTTCTCCCGGGTGTGAAATACCTCCCCTGCTCAAGGGCCTTCATGTAATTCAGTCTTCAGCCAAGCTTTAATTGGCGATTTAGGGATTAGCCAAATATGGGAAGCCACTCCTAACGTCCAAAGCTCCCAAACCAAACTACCAATCAGAGATGGTGAATTAGGGAACCCCTAGTCGGCGGTTTGGATTGGAGGGTAAATGGGGCAAATCCCTCCTTCACCACAAAACTCACCAACCCAAGCCACCAATTGGCCAATTGGGTGGGAAGCTGACATATTGGTTCCTAGGGATTCCTTCTTTGGAATTGATTGTAGCACTTGTTAATATATGCACCCCGATGAGTATCCTTCGGACCCCGGACCAGTCCAGGACCAATTGTTCAATTCCTGCGCTCTCCGACAAAGACATGACGTTGACTGGCGCAAGCAAACATCACCTGCAAGTTGCGCCTTCTAGTTGTGAATTTGAAGCCTAAAACTGATGGGCCGGTGTCCCTTTATTTTCCCTTTAAAAGCCACCTCCAAAGGGTACCCTCAGAAAAAAACACACGCACAGAAGCACACATGGCATCAACGGCTTTGCTTCAACTCAGCACACTGGGCGCGTGCTTGTGCTCACAGCCCAAAGTGGAGCCCTGAGGCTTTTGATACACAATCAGACCCCTAGGCGGTGAGTTTCCTTTGGGTTTCCGTTCAAAAAACCAGTCAAACGTTTGGGTTTCAAGCTTAAAAAAACCAGTTTCCTTTGGGTTTCCTTTGGGTTACGTTTGGGTTTCCTTTGGGTTTCCTTTGGGTTACCTTTGGGTTACCTTTGGGTTCAACCTGTTTTGAGACCGACCCAAAGGTCATTGTGGCTATTTTTGGGAGTTGGCAAACTTTGAGCTTGTTTCGAAGGAAGAACCAAAAGGAAACCGGGACACATTTTGGGGCCTCCATATCCTGTTTTGTGACCAGCCCATAGGTCGCTTCCCAAGGAATACGACTCTCGTTGGGTGGAGTTACTATTTGGGAGCTTTCGTAACCAAAAGCTGGCTTCGGAAGTGAAGATTTGATGCAGTCATCGCTTTTCCTTAACAATAAATGTTCTTGCTTGGATCGCCCTCACGCATGGACATCATCGCATTTCTGGGAATCGATCGCTTGACCAATGCTCATGCTTGGAGCACCCTCATGGACACTTTTGTGGACATGTCTACATCCCGAGGTAAAACGATGTTCATCAGGTCTGGCAGCTCATGCTTGGAGCACCTTCATGTGACAATCATGGGCATTTCCACCTCAGGTAAAACGATGTTCACCAGGGTTGCTTTGAGCCAAGCTTCGCTTTTTGGCCGGCCTTCGCTGGGGCCAGAGTTTTCTACCTCAAGTCGCAACCTGAAATTAGCAAAAACCGCCAGGTGGAGCTAGGCCCAGCTACTCGTAGGTGCCAACTTGTACCGTTTTTCTTTTTTCGGGGAGGGTTCCGCTACTAGAATAGACTACAGAAGAAAGGGTGCCCTTATTCTAACCACTACTGGAGGACCTAGGAAGAAACACTCATTGGTCTGCCTGCGGCAAGTGAGGTTGCGGACCTTGGTGCTCTCCAACCCCGAGATGGAGGCGGAAAAGCAAGAAACAACGATGGAGGTAAGTGCAGGGCCCAGCGATTCCAGGTGCTTGCTTGGCATGCAACCAAGGGAACCACCCTATAATTCCTGGTGTCTTATAGGTTGCTTGCCCGCGAATCGACCGGATCTAAGCTTTTGGGTTTTCCAGGTCTTGAGGATACATACCCATAGTACCAGATTTGGAAGCACTGCTTGAAATCCAATGAGCTCCCTATCAGGCTCACGGGTCAACCTGTATAACTATCTTGGTAGAATCAACTGTCAACAGGAGTGGCCAGTTTTCGATCAAGATGTTCAATTTTTCGGCGTTTGACTGTTGCTGCTGTAGGGGCACGAAATGTTTGCAGGTGCTCAAAAATTGACGGTGTCGGGAATGAAACGGAATGGGATTCCCTTAAAGGAATCCATAGAGGATAGTTTTTCCCGGGGTCATTCCGAGCCAGCAGGAATGGTTGTAGCTCTGAAACCCCGCGCTTTCACCAACTGCCGGGACTGAAACGGAACCCTTTGGTTTTGTAGCCAGGTTGGTTACAATCCTCGAAGCCTCTTCCTTATGATTTTCACTTGGGTCGCGAGAACGGTTTCATTTGTGGTTTCCTTTTTTGGGGTCCATCGAAAGTCGGATTGGCCAACCCAAGCGAAGTTGAGTGGCCGGTTTTCCCCTTGATTTGCTTTAGGCATTGTTTTGCTCGAGGGCATGACTTGAGCTCGTCTCTCTCCCAGGGCAAAGCGTCTTCATCTTTACAATCCTACAACAACAATTACAAGAATAACAAACCATGTTTTGTAAACATGAATACACTACACCACATATTAATACTTATATCAATATGTGCCCTTATTCCTGCTAATCCAAATGTACCCAAATGTACAGCCCCGGCTGGCGCGATGCCTTGTGCTCGACGCCCCCACGCAGGCCTTGTGCGAAGGCCGGCATTTCGCTTGGGGCAAGGCTGGAGAGACGAAAACGTTTCGCGCGCGCCGGAGGCAGCTTGAACAGGTCCCCAAATGGGTTGTGAACCGCCACCAAAATAATGGGCATTCGGCCTTGAAGCACACGGAAACCACATGGCTGTGGCTCAAAAAACCGGTACCAAAATGGAGCCCTGGTATGTGGAAACATGGACCAAAACCTTCGTAACCCCTCCTGTTTAATTTTGAGCCACACCCACATGGTGGCTAGAAAAGCAAAACGCAGACCCAGTGGATCCCAAGCCATTGTAGGCAGCCGGCCCTGTTCCCTTGAGTTGTGTAAAGCTGACTCCTGTGTGGCTATTGAGGCAAAGGGAGGGCTGAGAAGAATGGCTTGGATTTCTTTAGGTTGCCACCGAGGGCGTTTCTACGCTGCCAGCAACATCTCGCCATATGCAGATGAGAACGCCGAGGCTGCGCGGTGTGTTTGCGCTGAGCCATGTTGGTTGAAGCCAGAGTCTCTCAATTATTTGCGCTTGGAATGGCCATTCCACCGTCTATGTATTGTTTTGGCACTTAGGACCTGCTCCCAGTGCTACCATTTCCTAATATACAAGGTAAGCCGTTTGTCCATACAATGGACTGGGCTGCCCTGGTTACCAACTGTACCCGGTACTCCCATTTTCCATTTTTTTCATGTAAAGAAACGTGTAATGTCCATTAAGCCCTGGCTAAAAGAAGATGCTAGTGGTCATGGAAAGCCTGGTTCTTCAAAATGCGGTGTTCCCCCTCCCCCGTCCAAAAAAAGCAAGAAATAAAGAACCAACATACGTTTGACTAGGGTGCCTGGTACCAAAAGTAAATGTTGCTCAACAACTCCTTACTCGGAGCGTCCTCTATTTCCACGCTTCTTTGTGGTACTTTGCCCAGATACTTTGCAGCGAGTTTTAATGGTTCTTCAATGGTTGGTGGACATTAATCCCCCATATGCACCACCCAATAAAGGTTCATATCCAAACGGCTTTGACAACCTTCCGTGTCCCTTTGGTTTCCCTTGCTTTCCCTGTGATTTCCCTCAAAACAAAAACTCTTTGCGTAGGTGGCCCTGCTTCGTTGGATGCTCGGCAAGCTTTGCGGCTCGCCGGTGGTGTCTGGGTGCTCAGAGGGGCTCGCCGAGTTTGCCGGTTGCCATTTGGCTTGACCTATAACCTTGGACCAGAATCAGACATGCGTTTCTTGTTGGGGGTTGAGTTCGTTTGGTTCGACCTGCGACCCCTGTACAGAAAGTCGACCATTTCAGAGGGAGTTCGAATCACTTTTCCGGCTCAAGGGACAGGTCCATCAGGTTGATATATCCGGAGTCGACGTTACTCCAAAGAAGCCAAACATATATAAGACCAGTTGCAGGTTCAGGACGAATCCAGCCCAAAGGCCCCCCCTCCCCCCAGTCGTTCAGTTGCTCCCTTTTGCACGATTGGCTTCCGACCTATTCATGAAGCTTCCTTCTTTGGGGGTCCCAAGTGTGTGCGTGTGTGTGTGTGTGTGTGTGAGTAGTGACTTGTCCAGAAACTTGACCCCTCCGGTTGGAGGGGCACCCCGGATTTTGTGCACCAAGTACGTGTCATATGTTTGGTCCACGCTCGTACTGGATATGACTTTCCTGAAAAGGGCACATGTTTTCAATTGACAAGTAAAGAGTGGGTTCATGTCAGCTCTGAGGAGCTTGGTTGATGAATGTTTTACAGAACCCTTCAGAAGCCAACCATGTGGAGGGACCGACCGAGTTTGATACATGAGACACACCCAAACACCCCAAGAGATGCTGTGAGGGTACTGGCTGACTAAAGCTGGTTCTGCAGAGCTTTGGTTTCCGAGTAGGGAACATCGGTGCTTCAAGCGACCGCCCTGGACGGTGCTCCGAGCTTGCGACTTTCGCCTGTGCAAACGATGTGTCGCGGCCCTCGCAATTTTGGTTGCGGGCGGTGCGGAGAGGGTCTGACCATGTTTTTAGGCAGTAGTCTGAAGCCAAGCACAATGTGTCACTGCAATTGCCACTCAAGTTGTAGATGGCGGATGCATGCCACAATTTGGAGGTTGAAGCTTGAAGACGCCTGGAGCTCTGCAATGGAAGGCCTGCTCACGTGCAAACGTCTCAAAAAAAATGAGCTGGTGGCTGTGGCTTACGGCCCCAACCATCAGACCAGATGGAAGTGCTTTGCCTGGGGCTACTCCGACAGGGGCCCGTAAGTTGATCAACTAGCCACACAGTCTGTGCAGATGTTGCGAAAATTACCGGGCTGTTCGTGTTGCCAACTTTGCAATAGTCAGGAGAACCTTAATGTGATTTGTTCTGTTCTCTCGGTCCATTGTCTGAGGCGCATCACATGCAAATGCGGGTGATGTTGCTCAACTTACCCACACAAAGGGTGCTGATTTTTCCCCATGACCACTGGGGGTAGGCAACCGGAGGGAACCGAGCCTCGCAAACAGACGAGATGAGCCAGCCACAGGAGCCCGCTCTTGGAGAGCAAGATCGGCCTGGAGCCCGATCCGAGCGATCGCGATGAGTTGAGATTGTTCTAGGGGTGCCTTCCCCATTCTTTCCAGGGATCCTTCTTTTCAGGAAACCATAAAAAAACCCAGGGGAAACAGCCGGTTCTTGAAAAGAACGATGGTTGAAAAGAATGGGGAATCAACCCCTGGATTTGTGTTGCATTGTCCTGCTTCTCGGTTGGAATCTTAACAGGGGTTGTGGGAATGAACTCAGGGGTTGAAGCAAACGCAAACCAGAGATGGTTAGGGCTGAGCACTGGCACGCACCTGCCAACCTGTCGGACAAATTGATGTTGCCCTTACAACTTTTCAGAAGTGAATAGCTTTTGGTTTAACTATTCACCCGTGGCTCCGGCCTGTTAACCTTTTAAATCGGTGTCTTCCAAGGAGGTTGCGATTTGAACTGCCAAGACGAATTCACTGAAAAACAAGCGCGGGTTGGCGTTTTCTCGGAGAAATTCGGGTTGTAACCCAACACTCGGGCACTTTCCATTTCAGGTAAGTATTGGGGCGAAATGGGATGTGCCGCGCAAGTCCAGACTGAAGATGGGCGCGCGGGGACCCACTTTGAGAAGGCTTCGCAAAAGGCAAACCCTCCCGCCGCAGTCCTTTATCGTGATGATGATGAAAGCTCATTTCAGTGGGGACCTGTCTTTTTGGCTTTTAGCAGACTTTGATTCGCACATTGGTCCAAAATTCCCATCCAAATGCAATGCGTACTCTTTAAGAGAAGCGAAGGGCCTTCCACCCACCCCAAAAGAAATTGCTCTCCAAAGATTTCAAACTGCAAGATGGTTTTGAAAAGGCAAGGTACAGATAGGTGCAAGTGCCACCCTGACATGGGTTCAGGCACTGGTGGGGCGACAAGCCCTAGTGAGCAGGAGGAAAACTCCGCAGGTAAAAGGCAAGGTAAATCCACGCCTAAGAAATTGAGGCCAATGGGCTTCCTTCTGGCCCCAAGGGTTAAAAGGAGGTTTCGCCCGAGGCGGAGCCAAGCGCCGGGGAAGAGAGCTAAGACGAATGGACGCGAAAAAGCTTCCCCCTTGGTTTGGACGATGGTTTCCCAGCACCACGGGAACACGGGGTTCCACTCCATATATCCAAAAACAATCCAAACGCCTTCCAGACCGAGGGTTACAAACCAAGGCAAACTTATCCAAACGTCTTCCAAACCAAGGGTTACTCTCCCCCAACCATGGAAACTGCCCCTTGGACGACTCGGTTCCATTTGTAGGCGAGGAGGAGTGCCGCGAGCTCTTGTCAGCGCCTAGCCCCAGATTCGGCACTGGCTCGCTCTCAGTGTTTTTTTGTGTGAATCTTCGTGGGAACCCATTTTGTCGACATGAGTTAGGTGAGGATGTACACCAGAACATGGTGGACACCACAGATAAGAACTGGAACTGGGATTTCTATCACTTCTCAATTCTTTGCTTATGCTCTGCTCGGTGGTGCGCAGAAACCAGGAGCCACGCAACCTCGGCTGACACTTCGCGAAGTGGGTGCCAGCCTTCAACTTTAGAGCTGCAATGTAGCTAGGGATCCCCTTTCTTCGGTGCATTTTGCCAAGGGAGGTTAGGACTGAATCACTTTTTGCCAACTTGAATGGGTTTTCCGTATTAAACCACGAAGAGTTAAAAACTTTTAACAGGGGAGCAGAAAGCAACCGAGCTTTGTATGGCCGATGTCATGTTTTTGCCCTCAACCTCCCCGAGAGGTTTTATTTGGCTAGTCTTTGGGCGACGTGCCTGGAACTTAGGAAGAGGGTGGCGTGTTCTGGTTGAGAAAGGCGGCGGTTAATGTCCGGTTGCGCAAGAAAGTGATCGTGCCACGGGATTCGCAACACTACTTTGTCGTTTCCCCTTTCAGCCACCATTCGAGGGGTTCCAAAAAGCAAGCATGGATCATGGAATCTCAGAAGGGCTCTTTCTTGGAGTCGGCACCTCTCTTTTTTGTAGTACAGGAACACCCAACACCATTTTGGTCTCCCGGAGTCCCCAAAAACCCGAGCTGAGTTCTGTCACTACCCATTTTTCACCCGGAGCTCTGTGAGGCGGAGTGGCTCGTGTGGTTCGACGCCGACCTCATGGCCCCGTCCTTGGATTCGGGCTCATTCGAACAAAACCACCGCTGAATCGGTTTCTAGGTGCCACAGGCGGTCCTTCTGATCTTCCGCGGAAGAGTGTGTTATTTGAAGGTTGGGACGTTTGGCAGATCCACCGCGGGACTGGCATGAGTGGAATTGGTGTGAGTCACATCGATGGGATGCCTCTCGTGTGAGTCCCCGAAGCTGGGGGCCAGGTTGGGTTTTCCAAAATGAACTGAGCCCTGTGGGGTTGGTTGGGGTGGTCGTCAACCATTTTGGGAGTGTAGCCAATGTACAGGTACAGTTCTTGCTCGAGGGCCCAGAGCCGCAAAGGGGTTCGGGGGGGCGGGGGGCAAAGAGATGAATCGAACATGGCTGTCCATGTCATGCAAGAGCATAGTTGTCCTTTCTGCTTTTGGTCGAGCATGGACTCCACTGGTCACTGGTTTCAGTTTGGTCCCTTCTTTCATTTGCCTCCAATTCATCAAAACAAATCCAAGCGGCGCCGGAGGGGTCCATTCAACGCTCTAGGGGTACCTTCCGGAATCCCAGGAAAAACGGCAGGTTTTTGAAAAGAACGATGGTTGCAAAGAATGGAAAAGGACTCAACCTCTCGAAACGCGCCTTTTTCAGCGCCAGGTGCTGAACCATGGCTGGCCACTGACTGCTTTCCTGGACTGCGCCAAGGCCCTGGGGATGGAGGGGTTGACTGCCAACTGGCATGCCCAATGGAACGACGGCCTCTTCAAAGGAACGCGGATGGACAGCACCAGAATGTCTTCCCACTCCTTTGGGGTTTCATCCTGTGTGAAGTGGGATTTTGTCCACAGGGCGCCTTTGGCGTACAGGCCGAAAGAGAGAGAGAGAGAGAAAGAGAGAGAGAGAGAGAGAGAGACAGAGAGAGAGAGAGCCGACTATTTTTTTTCTTGCGAGCGACTCCAGCGGTTTTGCTGGGGTGGGTTGGGGTCAAAAGAGCGACCTTGCCCATGTAGGTCCTGTACTTGGGATCACTTTTAGGGATTCCTTTTGGTAACCAGAGAGGACCTTGGCTTTGGCACAGACCTGGCTTTTGGTCGTTTCCAAATGCGGGGTTCTTCTGGCATTGAAACGAGACGGACCCTTTGGCACTGGCTGTTGGAAAAGCCATGTCCCAGCCTCACGTGCGGACCTCAGACCTTTGCAGTGCGCATGGATTAAGGCCATCCAACTGCGGGTCCTTTTGATCCATGAGAGCGCGACAAGGCACCATGACCCCCTGGCGTCACCCCTCATGGCATGGCGTCCGTCCGGAGCTGACCGAAGCTGCCAGGACCTGGTGCTGGGGGAAGACATGGCCGACCTGGCCAGGGGCACCCAGCGAGTCTTTGCAGAGGGCTGAGGTGAGAAGCCCTAACTTCTTGAGTTCCGTTTCGCACGTGCTTGCGTCACTTTTTGGGCTTGGACCATTTTAGCGGTGAGAGCGAAAAGTATAGAGTTTTTGTTGGCCATGAATGGATTCCAAACTTTTGGAGCTAAACTAGCTGGGGCCCATATTCAGCTTAGGCTTAGCTCACCTTTCAGACCTGACTTTTGCTCGTTTGGGTGTCCCTGAGTTTCCCTCTCAACCAGCAAGCCGTGTTTTCAGGGGAGGGCCATGCTGTTCCTGGACAAGGTGGACCCCAAAACCCCCAGGTGTACCTCTCAAGCAGAACCTTCCACTCCCTATACATGTTTCCCTCATCTGGGGGTGATCGTAATAACTTTGGTACTGGAGAGGGATCATGTTTCGCTTCCACTTCTTTTGGCTATGACTTGCACATCTCCCATGCAAGACTTCTGTGCGGGTCTGTGTGTGCTTGAGTGCATTTTGTGTAGAGGATAAGGGCTGCTCCGAGCCCTTCATTCCCCCTACTCCAAATACATGATGTGAACGCATCACGCTGGCCATGGGGCCTAACCTTGGCTCAATTTTGGGGTGGATGTTGAACATCCATTTGCCACCTATGTTGATGTTCACCAGGGGGTTCCTGGGTTTTGACAAACAGCCGACTGGGTTTCCAACAGGATGTAAACGCATCTCCTTCTTAAACCAGGCGCGCATTTGGAGCAGAACTTGCACCGAGGACTGGCTGAACACCGGGCTTATGATGTGCCGCATCGGCTCCACCTGGACAGATGTGCTCGAATTCGATTCGAGCCAGCCGCCCCCCCCAAAGACGGGCGGCCGCTGGGACCGATTTGGTCGAATGCTCGACATTGAACTGTGGGGGGAATCATATGTCTATTTCCTTACCAATTAAACCGTTTTTTGTCTTGCAGTCCTTTCACTTCTGGGACAGGAGGAAAAATATATATGGTTCTACCAAACAGTTAAACTTCTTGCAGTTCGGGCAATGGGAACATTGCCGATATGTCCCCTTTATCCATGGATTTATGGGGCAGTCCTTCGAACTCGGATTTGGGTTTGTTATGGTTCGAGCACCCCCAAGGCCAGAGCGGACGATTGAGTTCTAGACTCTATAGAACAAAATGCTTCCCCGTGACGCTCGCTTGAACTCATCTCCAGGCATTTGTATGCAGGCTGTTTGCCAGACAGCACATTATTTGTAAAGCGTTCCCCTTTGCCTCCTTGTAGTCCCAGGGCGCTTGTTTGTTTTGTTCTTGCACAAGGTCCTCCTCGTTCATGGAAGATGTGCTTTTTGCTCGGCTGCGCCATAAGGGTGGAACTTTGGCAACCGGCTTGGACCAAACGTCTACAGTTGTGCCAGCAACTGGTGTCATCCAGGCACAAAGTGAGATCGAAGTGAGTTTTGACAGAAAAATGATCAAATGGAGCAACAAGTGCAGGCCAGATAACCTCACTCCCTGAGCTCCTGGACCTGATTCTTGTTGGGTTCGGACCATTTCAGTGGCAAACAAGTGGGACTGTTCGGGCCAATCCACTGGAGAAGTGAGTGTAGTGCCATTCCGGCTGCATTTGCCTGCATGCAGGATGCAAGGCTTATGGGACAAGGTGCGCGCGCCTCTTGGTATGGGAGACAGTGTGGGAAAGCAGTTCCACCGGCCCGTCTCTGCTGTTGGTTTCACCAGGATGAATGTAGATGGAGCAATTGCCTTTATGACTCAGCCAACATGGGGGAACTGGTTTCAGCCAGTTCTGTTGATGTGTGATTTCTGTTTGCGGAACAAGCAGTTTACTTGTTTGCTGACCTGCAAACAATTGTGACGCCGTACGAATTTGCTAGTTCCAACGGTCAAAGTCGCCCAGAGTGATAGCTTCCATTTGTCACTATGGTAGCCAGGGGCAAAGCCCTTGTACCGTTACCAAGGTCAGTCACTTGTGGCTGCTGAGTGGTGAAAACGTCGACAAACCGATTCCGTGTTTTTGCTTTGTTCGAAAGGAATCGCCACTGGTGCAATTTCTCCACTCGGCATATCTATGCTGTGCAGTGTGCTTTTGTGTGCCCGCGTTTTTCAACCTTCGGGAAAGTGAACGTGTCCACTCACCAGCCAAAAAACCAGCCAGTTTCCGTCGGGTTCAATATATAGGGCCAACCTTCTAGCCTTCTTCGTTTCACTCTGGGTTCTACATCACCAATATTTGCTCGTCTTCCGGTGGAGCAAGCCATGCTTTCCCGTAGCTTCCATTCGCTTAAAAGTGTTCTTTATTCCCCCTGTTGGTTTTAAAGGGAATCTATCACTACTGGGAATATTTGTATATTTTCCAGTGGACTTAAGCAAATGGATGGTAGGCAACTGCATGGCCGCCTCATTTCGGCAACGTCAGCCTAGGATCTAAGCAGAAGCCGTCGAATGAAAACGAGGTGTGCAACTTCCCCCCGAAGCTCGGTGTCCCCTTTTGAATGAATCGGGCACCTACACATCGACCAGTCAGGTTTGTTAAATTGGACCCTCGACCTCCGATATATCTTCAGATACCACCAACCACTTTTTTCATTTGACTACCCCACGGGATCCTTGATTTGCCAGGGAAGCCCGGTTTAAGTCTATACATCAAACACTCACTTGTTCAAAGCCGACCTTTTGACCTTTCGGTTTTCCAGTTTTGGCAACCATGTCCAGCCATGGCCCCAAAGGGTGATCACCTTCTATTTCTGGGGCCAAACTGGGCCACCGAGAAAATACGGAGCTCTGCCGCATCCATTCGGCGGGGGGCGACCCACGGGAGGTATGGCGCGAAGGTGACGCGGCCTTTCACCAGGGCGAGTTCTGGGACCAGCTGGGCGCTCGGGAGTCCTGAGGGATTCGCTTCACCGATGATTGGCATGCGCATAGCTTCTTTTTTTTTTGGGGGGGGGGTTCTGTTCAGTGTTCGTCGGGGGCTGCAAGAAACACTTGGTGTTTGCTGCCATACGAAGGGCTGACGGGTTTCTTTGTCTACCATAGGAGTCTGAAGGAATGCCGGAATACCCCTCCCAAGGTTTGGGCATAAGTTCCGCGACTTCTGACGTGAAGGTCCCCGATTCAACACCCAGATTGGCTGCGACTTCGCTTTGGTTTCTCCGCGGTTTCCTCCTGATCATCTGGGCTGTTCGGATTTGCCTCTTGATGGAAGGCCACGTCCGTCATGCCCTTTCCTGCAAACCAACTTCCAACAAGGTTTCTAGCAGGGGCACCAACCGGGGCGGAAGGGGCAAATTGGGCAGTTTGTGGCACAAATGTCGTTTGAGTTGCCCTGGATTTGCACATTCCGAAACAGAAATGAAAGCGGACGCAGTCGTGGCGCACTCTGCACTCACTGAGGTCCCAAATAGTGTTTCCTGAAATCTGCTCGCCCGCTGGTTTGGGTGAGGTCATCCGTTTTGGGATACATCCCCAAATGCGACGTTTCCCTTGAAAGCCAGACGTAAGGGGGTAATTACCCTATTTTTTGGGCAGCACCCACATACGAGATGCAGTTCGAAGGACTAATATGGGTTCTGATGCGTAGAGTTATGGGGCACGTGGACGGTCCCCATCTTTTACGAGGGTCCCTTTCGACACTAGGAATTTCCTTGTTCATGTTGGGTACCGCCTGTTGGTTTTACCACTCTCAGCACCGTTCTTGCAGCCTCAAAACGCCAAAACCCGAGGGCCAAGGTATGATCATCTGCCAGGGGGTGTTGATTTGTTTTCCAGCCGATCCTAAGTTCTAAACCGAGAGACGCAATTCGATGGAGCTCTGTTTGACCCATCAAGACAGCAGCCCGTCCACGCCTGGACCCTGAGCAAGCAAAGCGCGGTGAAAGGACGACCAGCATACAACGACTGCTGGTAGCACTACAGTTTGATAGAGCTCCTTTAGCTTACAGTTGCGTGTGTCTTCTTTTTGAGGGAAGATGCATAATTTGGAGCTGGCTTAAGGGATCCCAACAGCAAACCGCCGCCCATTTTTTTTTGGGGGGGGTCCACGTGCGGCGCAAGGCCTTTGCCTCAAAGGGGCCCTGGTAGGTTTCGACAGCAAGCACTCCCACACGCCTCCCTCTTTGGACAAGGGGTCGGCGGGCAGATATAGGGTACTTGGAGTCCCCATGACCCCTTAAAAAATGGATCCATGATCCCCTGGAAAAAAATCCAGGTACTCCTTTCTTGGGTCACCGTGTGGTTCCCCACACCATTTTGTTGCGTCGCTCAGGAGCGCCCTTTGCGGTTGCTTGGCCAAGTGGGGCGAGTTCAGCGTAGGGCTCAGGGTCGCCGATGGAGGGTCAACTAGGTCCCCCTGTCTTGCCCTTTTACCCTTTTTGGAGGAGGGTTCCCCTATAAAAAGAGACTACAGAAAAGGGTACCCTTATTCAAACCTCTCTACTGGAGGACCTAGTCAACTTGCTTGAAATCGGGTGTCTCAGAATTTCATTTGGGATGCGGTCCCTTTGAACAACAACCTGAACCGGCAATTTGAAATGCTATGGTGTTTAAGAGTTTTGTTGGAACCACCTCACAAGTTGTTGGTGGACAATCCCTACCAAATTCTGATGTTCACCAAGGGCCACCCCATTAGAATTCACAACCAAGTGACTTGCCTTGGGACTCCCCGTGCAAATAGAATGGGGGAAGGGGGCGACCCAGGAAGTTCTTTTGGAGTGCCATTGTCCTTCTTATGCTTTGCGGCTCGGGACAAAGCAAAACATAAAGAATTGGGAGGACCCCCAAGCCCCTCCTCCAGGCAGGGGGACCTTGGGAGCAAAGATGCTTTGCGTTCCTTGCCTTCCCATTTTGAGACCATACTGGAAGCAGCGGAGCGCCCATCTGGATGGCCTTTAAAGTTCAAAGTATCTTTCCGGAGACTTGCGCCTCACCTGAGTACATGTTTGCTAGGCACGAAGGGGAGATGATGGGGCTCTGTTTCTTTTTTTCCTTTTTAAGGGGACCCCTTTTTGTGGCCTTTAACAGGAAGCCAGAATTGAACCCCTGATTTTGGCATCACTCGCGAGGTCCGGATGTGATTGGCGGCAAGCGGGTTGCCCGGGCCTCGTTGGTTGCGGTGGCGCCTTTTTTTCGTCGGAGGCCGAGCTTGTGCTGCAACCTTCAGTCCCCACCTTCCCCTTCTAGGTCCCCCCGTAGTGGCCTTTTACCTCTTTTTTGGGGGGGTAGAAGGGGGTACCCTTATTCTAACCTCCCTACTGGAGGAGCCTTTTCAGTGGTTTCAAAATACATCTTGGGTTTGGAGGTGGATTGGTTTGGGGATCGAACGTCACCTTGCCTAGGTCTCCCAGCCAGGCGCCCGTTTACCGTTTCTTTTTGTTTTTTGGGGTTCCCCTACTAAAATGGATTACAGAAAAAAGGGATTCTAACCTGCGTACTAGAGGACCTAGCCTTTTTAGTGGTTTCAAATTTTGTGTTGGGTGTGGAGGTGGATTGGTTTGGGGATTGAACATCACCTTGCTTTGGCCTATTCAAGGTGATACCAAGGGGTGATGTTTTTGTCGGAGAAAGATTTCGAGCACGCCCAGTCCAGTGTCCTCTTTCAACAGCGCCAGCTATGAGGTGGCTGGGCGGTGGGGCTACCGAGCCGTGTCAACTGAGGCTGCAGCGAGCGCGCAGCCATGGTTCAGCCCTGGTCTCAGCGGGTGGGGTCGAACCATGATGGAGCTTATGAGGTCGTGACTGTCGGGTTTCTATCCTTTTTACCTTGCTTTGAAGGGACAAACAACAGACATACGGCCATTTTGTTGGATCCCTTTCTTTTGACACATACCCTCAGATTACGTAAGTTTGGGTCATTCAAAATCAATGCTGGATCCTTTTTGTAGATGGTACTGGCATCCTTTGTTGTATCCCGCCCAGTTTGAGTAACCCAGTGAGGCGTTTTGCGATTTGTTGCGTTCCTAGAATCAGGGTTTCCAGGTTGGTGGTTGTTTTTGGAATACATTCGAGCTAAAGCTTTTAATGCTTTGTCCGCCCAGTTATGTGTCAGGGCTGTTACTTGACTTTGGCCGGGTCGCTCCGAGCCCCGCAACAATGAGACCAAACCACAAGGGGCCCTGAACTATTCATGTTACTTGGTGGCTCCCAGGCGTCCCCTTAGCTCTTTGGCGTTTTAGGGTTCAGTGGGTTCCATTGAACCCACTACAAGTTAAACTTGCAGCAGTGGAATGCAGTGGACAGCCCAGTAAACTGGAGACCCCTTCGCCAACCCGCTGCATTTTCGAGATTCAACTTCCTAAAAAACAAAAAAAAACGAACAGCATCCTGAAAAAAAACAAACATGGCCCTCCTCCCAGGTTTCTTTAAACAATTCCTCGGGCCGGGGCTCGGAGCGCGGCCGATCCGTCGATTCGTCGGAGCCGATCCGAGGCTGGCAGGGCGGCGCGCGTGTCCGCGAGACCCAGCACCTCCGCGCCGGAAGCCCCGGGGCGCTGTCGGGGGGGACCGTTGAAGGGCCGTTGGTTTTTGACTGGGGCCTTTTAACCTACACGCCCAGATATAATTCGAGGGACCTCGAAACCAAATCAAGTCATGAGCATAGCACCATGTTAGCAACTGTATCGCCCATAGCAACTTCCTAGATTTCGAGCACCAAGCAGGGTGTGTGTGTGTGTGAGCGATTTTCAGGGGGCCGGATTAAAGGGCCACGAGCTCACGCTTTGCTGGAGGAGTTCCTTCTTTCTGATTTGAGAATTGAACATGATTTACCCAGATCTCTCAAACAACAGCATCAGCAATTGTCTTGAGCATTTTATGTGCTGGCCCGTGATTTTGGCGCTTCTTTCGACTAACGCTGACTCCGCTAAGGTGCTAGACGCAGGTGGGACGCAAACGAACAACCCGCGCTACGCCCGCTTCGCTTTCCATGCGGCTGGCATGAAGGACGGCCTGAATTGGGGGCACGCCAGCTGTTCTCCCTATCAAATGGGGGGTGTAGTCTTTTGGGGGTGCACCGTTTCAGGCGGTTTCAGGTTTGCCCATGAACATTGTATAAATGGCCATGAACATGATGGCCACTGAAGGATCCCTCATGTGTTTGTTGTTTGCTTGGCGGGGGTTGAATATCCGGGACCTAGAACCCACTGACACTCTACAAATTGGCATCCGGATTTGTTTTTGAATTTGTGTACGCATCGCCCTGGAATCCACCAGAAGCTCCCTTGGAGAGGAAAATGATCTTCCAGGAACCTCCATTCAGTTTCCATGTTGCTGGCCATCAAAAGCTTTTGATGGCTATTTGAAGCGCCAACCGACAAACAAGTCATTGTGAGCCACTATGCAAGGTTCACATGATGGGTTCCCCCTGGTTACCTGCTATAACAGGATTCGGGGAACAGGGGTCGCTCTCATTCGACCCTGGAACCAGGCTGGACAATTGTTCCCTAGTCTAGGACCCCAGTAGTGCCCTTTCTCACTTTTGTTGTTTTGTTGTTTTTGGGTTCCCCTACTAAAATCGACTACAGAAGCAAAATCGTGTGCCAACTTATTCTAACCTCTCAAATCTGGAGGACCCAGTAGGGAAGGGAAACGAAAAGAACACCACCAATGTTCCACCCCTTGTGGCTGGTCATCTTGTAGAGGGTCGGAGTGACCCTGCTGTTTCAAGCTTGGAACATCACTCCACCAGGAAACTCATTTGGGTATGGGTCAAAATGAAGCCACCAGGAATCGGACCGCAGGTTTTAGTCGTTAGTTCCATTTACCAGGGCCACACATTTTGGCTACCCATTTTTTGACAACCACAGCCATTTGAAGAATTCGTTCAAGTTGAAACCACCCAACAGCGAATAGGAAGGCTCAACCTGGACAGCTCCAGGGTTAACAGTGGGTCCCAACTGAGTTGGCAAAAGTTAGCGAGTGTTTGCGAAAGCTAGTGGTTGGAGAAGGTCGGCCTCTCCCCAGAAAATCGAAAGGCGGGCAAAACCAAAGAGCAGCAAAGCACCAGGAAGCCTGTAGCTTGATAGAACAAGTAACTCGACCGTTCCCCACATTTAAAGCAAACTCCCCTCTCAGATACTAGTAGATACTCAATGCTGTTTCGCTTGTTTTAAGAAGCATCACAGTTGACGTCAAGCTTCCTGCCTTAAGCATGGCTTGCGGTTGTTCTCGGGCTAGGCTAGCGCTTGGCATTGGCCTTAGTGGCAGAAGTCCGGGTCTGATTTTGGGGAAACGGGCCGGGGATGTTTTGCAAGTGACACAAGGGTGTGGTTGATTTTTGTCAAGGCTTGACCCTGTTTGGGGTTGCTTTCAAGGAGAACCAACAGAAAACCGTCCATTGGGAACGTGCTTCACTATTCAGAGACAAAAAAACGCAGAACGAGATGCTTGAGGCTGTGTTATTCTCAGCTCAAGTTGGATGGTTTGTTTCAGGTTGGACGGTTGAGCGGAAGAAGTCAAGCAGCAAGATATGTGAGACTATTCACCTTTGCTCACCGTCCAATGGGCAAGGCTCCGAACTAGTTGGTCCTGTGTCAAATAGGGTGACCGCCCTTTTGGGACCCCCCCCCATTTGGTTTCCCTGTAAAATCAAGGTGAAAAGGGGACAGTCAAAAAGCGAGCCACCCCCAAGTGGATGACTGACACACAGACCCATCTTTCATGTCTCAGCCGGCGAAAGTTGGCATAGTCATGCTTCTCATGGGTTGGCAACATGGTTAGCTACATGGTTGGTACATGGTCTGGGGGTTAGCTACATGGCAAACCCTGCCTAGGGATAGGCGGGTTATTTGGCGGTCTGGGGACGCTCTCAGACCATCTACGCACTCGTGAAAAGGGGAGCAAAGAGGAAGCTATTTGTCAGGCGTAACCCAATTATTTGTAATTGATTCATCCCATTGTATTACTCTAGCGCCCAGCCTTTACAATAGGTACAAAAAGCCAGTTTCCCTCTCGTTTCCCATGGTTGCTTCCCGTCAAATGAAAAACAACAAAAAACAGGTTGCGAGCTCAGATCCGGAGACATGGGCAGGACAAGGCCCGGTGCTGCCGTCACCTCCTGGAGCTTCGAGCTGGAGCGTCAGCCCGAGAGTGTTGATCAGTCAAGGGTTCTCAAAGTGGACGGGCGTTCTGCTGCTTTCAAAGTGGATTCTGCGGTTCTCAAAGTTTGAAAGGGAGGGATTGATCTTGGCTGCGTTGGTTGGATCTCTAGCCTTTCGCTTTTTGGGAGAGTGAATTTTGTCCCGCCACTCAACAAACAGTTATCCACTTTTGCACAAGCAGCCACCAAGTGCTTCGCCTGTTGTTTGGGAGCCCTCCTGTTTTTGTTTGAGTCCCGCCCCCCAAGTGGGGGTCGCCTCAAACACCTGTGTTGATAGGACAGGCTAAAGATGAAGTAGCAGCAAAACCTGGCATTGTTTGTGCATCTTCTGACCTGAATGAGATGGATTAACCTCATTCCCAGTATCGTTCCCAGCACCATCACGCATTGCACCCGAAGTTCGGTCGAGTTTCGAAGCAACGGCCAGGCGAGTTCAAGCCTGATGGATCAAAGTGATGATCCGCTTCAAATTACATGTGGACGATGCTCGTGAAGGGTCGGGAGGGATGGACTCAGACCGAGTCACAAATTTGAGATCAACAAACCTGAGCCTTCTTTAATGTGCGCTCGTCATCCGCAAGCTGTGGACCACGCAAGCCTCAGTCTCCAAAGTATCCAGCCATGGCGAGGGCAAGTTGCCATGTCGAGTCGGAGCGCTCACAGTGGTGCCTAAACCCCATGGACTTGCTGAGACTTGCGAAGTCTGCCAACCCGGAGCATGGCGATGCTCTGGACTGCTGCTACCAGATGTTGAGTGATGGCGGCTCGGAGGATAGCCTCCGCTGCTTTGTGCGGAAGCTGCTGGACGGGATTCTTGAGGAAGAGCCCGTGAAATATGTGGTCGAGGTATTTCCCACGCCGGAGCCACTGAGAGCTCATGTTCGGGAGGTGGGGTATTGTTCAATAAAGACACTGGAACTTAGAGATGTTCGTAACTTCGGTTTTCTAGAATGGTTAACAATGTTTAGCACATGTAACTAAGGTTTGCTTCAATTGTCCCCCAACCCATCTTTGACCTAGGAACGGCCAAATGCCGGGGACGTGTTGTTTTGCCACGTTTTGTTCAGGTGAAGTCGATCTTTGAATCCTTCCTTCGGCAAGGAGATTCCAAGACAATACCGTTTGAGTGGCTGGCGCAACCATCTATGTTTGTGAGCCTTGCTTTTGAGGCTGAGGAGAACACGACGTTTGTTGTCACAGTTGGTGACCTTTTACAGATCACTGGTGAGTGTTCGCACCGCGAACGGCACACAGAGTTGGACTTTATTTTTGGAGAATCGCCAAAAACAGGCCCATTCTTGAAGATATCATATCTTCATGGAGAGCCCAATCCGATAGAGAAAGCTGAGTGCCATGCACTATGGAATCGGCCATCATCACATTGCGAATTGGAGATCCGCATGGATTCCATGGCGGGGCACATGTCTACGCAAGTGCGAATCTCCAACCAAATTATTCTGAGGGACAGGTGTGAGCATCATGACGGAGTGCCGGCCATCGGCTTATTGAAGGTGCAGTGCGCTGAGGGTTCTTTGCAGGTTTCAGGGACTTTGACAGCCTCAGGTGTGCCCAGTCAAGCAGGCTCTCCTGCTCATATCGCGCTATTGCCACAAGGCAGCGCAGAAGTGGTGTGTGATGAGGATATTCCATGTCTCCTGGACCTTTTCACACCACCCCAGGTCCAAAAGTATGACGTTTGCAGCTTCATTCGTGATCTGAAGCAGGCGTGGCTTGACAAATCCTTACCCAGTGGCCTCAAAGTCTTGGATGTGGTGCTGGTGGGTTCTGCTGCACTAGGGACAGCTCTGAAGAACAAATCAGATCTTGATATTTGTATTGTCTTCAACGGCGGAACGCATGCAGAACAGTTTGCGGCTTTGACGGGCCTAGCGGCGGAATTTGTTGAAGACCATCCCAACTTTACCCTTTCCTGCACGAACAAATTTGTCACAGCCCGCGTGGACTCTCGGGGGGTCTTCCGTTTGCCGCGGGATGCCTTTGCTGCTGCGCTGGGTGGTAGAGAGGCCTACCAACTTGTCACAATTCAGGAACACAAAGGAAAGTCCATAGACCTTCTCCCTTGCATTCCCATTAGCTTGGTGCCCAGGCAGTACGAGCCTCGCATGAGTCTGAGTGCAAACCCAGGCAAGGTTGCATTCTTTCAATCGCTGCCTGACGCAGTTCGCCAAGCAGCTGTTCTCCTCAAGCTATGGTCGTGTGGAGCAGCCGCAAACGAGGTGTGTCGAGTGTATGAGAATGCAGCAGAACGGCGTTGGCCTGTCACTGATTGCAAGCTCAAGATTACTGGCTACCCTTTGTCAATTCTGGCCGCAGCAGTTTGTGCTGCAAACAAAGATGCAGGTCTCGATTCTCATGCCTGTCGGATTTTGGCTGATGTGCTGGCAATTCTGGCGTCTCAGGTGTCCAAACCAGTGCTTGTGCTGCGGAACGGTACCACAACATTTGCAGATGGAGGCGCTACAGCCATGCAAGTCTTTCACCAGATGGGAGTGAGAAGGCAGACCGTGCTTGGAGCATGCATTTTGGTTCAGGACGCATTCTATGATCACTTGTTTTTCAAGGTGGGCCCTATGCCTTTGGACAAGATCCGAAGGCAGGCGGCTTCAGCGTTCTTCCGCATTGCAAATGCAACGGATGCTGGCCAGTCGTTTCGTTTGTGCGACATTCTTGCGGCCGGAAGCTGCGAGGATGAAGACACAAGCATGATGTCAAAAAGGTACAGCCAGGTATCAGGCAGGATGAGAGAGTTTGCTGGTCTGACAGCCAAGAGTGTTTGCCCTAGACGATCGCATCCATTGACCCGGATTCTCTTAACGCGTCCCTCTGCGTGCCATGAGTGCGAGACATTGGTATATGGCGAAGAAGGCGTGATGTACGAATGCCCGATTTGCCCGGAATACTTCCAACACCGACTCTGTGCCCAGTGCAAAGAGGGCGAATCAGCAACGTTGCTGGAGCCAGACGCTGCAGATCTGTTGAGAGGCCACGCTGGTATTTTGGACTTTGCCGCATGGATGCTGGAAGAGCTCGCTCAGGCTTCAGGGATGGTCAAAGCCTTTGACCATCACTAAGTACTGTATCGAGTGAATCTAGTTGTATCTAGTAGTTTTGGGTGGAGAGTTTGGTGGAGAGGCCGGCGAGAGCAACTCCAGTACGACTCAAGCCTTCATTGCGCACAGAGAGTTTGACCAAAAGGGACAAGGCGGCCACATTGTTTACACACTTTCCCCCACTCTCATCCAGCACAAAACCATTTGGTTAATGTGACTGTTTGCCTGAAAGGCTCCTTCGTTCAATGTATCAAGTTTCGCCGCAGTTTGAGCATGATGGACGATCAGATGGGTTCTTGGTTGATGATGTTGGTTGCTACCAGAGCCCCCCCAATCATGGGATGCTGAAGCGAGCGAACTAGGGCCGAGGGTTTTGCAGGCATGCTTCGAACCAGCTGGTTCATCAAAGATCATTTCGGGTGCATGTCCTCCCTTAGCGATGTGGAATCCTTCTACGAGATTCATGAGCTTTTTGATACATGGTCAATCAAAACGCCTCCCCCTCCCTCCAAAGGGGGAGCCCCTACACACACACCACCCCAAACACACCTCCGGAAAGACTAAAACCGACCAAAACTGCCAGATTTCTCAGTTTTTGTTGTTTGGACGGCCGGGTGTGTCAAAAACCGTCAGGTCCACGCCCACGGGTACCCGGACAAGGCTCAGCGCAAGCGAAGCTAGGAATGGGGTCCCTGTATTTCCCCTGATTTGACACTGGGCCAATTTCAAGGGGGTGAGGCACAGCTCTGGGTGTTGCATTGCAAAGAAAGGATCGAGTTCCTTTAGGTGATATTTAAGGGAGAACTACAGCGAGGCCTCAGGACCTCAGGAGTCTATGTCTTTCTCCGATGAGGGAAGACTGTGTTCCAAAGCCCTTTATGATTTGGAACGAGAGAAGCGCCCAAGTGGTGTTTCCAGGATTGTCCTAAGATTAATTGCCCTGGGGGGGTGAATATCCTGGCCCCAGTTCAACAAGCGTACCTTCCCTCCTATCTTCCGTGGGAGGACAACATTCCTTCGGGCAATCTCCCTGCCCTCTTCCGCCCTTCTTTTGTGATTGGAGCATGTTGGGAAGGGGGGCAGGTTTCCTCTTGGCAAAAATATGCCGTTTTGTGCAAAGGCAGGACCAGAGAAGCGGAAGCCAACGACTGGGGGATTTTTTGCGTGGATGCGGGGACTGGGCTTGGCTTCGCCTCGCGGGGCGGAGGGGCGGCCTGCCCCCTTGCCCAGTGCCCCCACTTCTTTGTTTGCCCAAGACCATGGTGCTTCTGGTTCCCCTAGTTTCAGGTTGATCGCCAACTTACAGGGTCTAAGTTAGCTTCGGGGCACTCCAGAATAAGTGTTGCGCGATTCTCGAGGCTGGGAAATGAATTTAACTGGATCTTGCTTGGTCCGACTTTGTATGCCTTTCCGTGGAACTGCTTTTTCAGGGACGGTCATCATATTGTTGCCTTGGAGTGTTTTTCCTGAATCTGGTCATTATGGGTGTATACAACAAACCGACAGCGGCGCGTTTCCCTGACACAACGGCGCATTTGCTCGATACAAAGGCGTTTTTTGCCGAACCCTGTTCTATGGCACGCGTCCCAAAGGCGCTGTTTGAAGGGAATTGTGATTTCGATGGAAACGACGAAATTTCTGTAGTTTCGGCAACCACAATTTGTGGGGTTCCCTTATTCTGGCACATAGCCAGTTGCTTGCTGCAAAGGATGGCGTAACATCCTCCCTGCCTAGAAAGCTACTCTATAGTAGGCAGCCTTTAGTTGCTGGTTTGGATTGGCGGTTTGGGGATTGGAACCCCTGGTTCTTGTGGAGGCTTGATACGAAACCCCTCCATTTCGCCTCCAAAGCAGCAGGCTCCAAGCCATTTGGGGGAAGCTGCCTAGAGAGCGCTCGGAAGCGCTGGGAGTGCTCTTGCAATTCACGCGGCCGATTGTTTGGGCAATGTCATTTCCCACCGACAAGTGATCCACTTTGGAGGGGGGGGTCAAAGACCACCAAGCAAATTAAATTCAGAGGGTCTTCTCCAAACGGTTTGTATGGGGTAGACTCAATATGAAGCAGATTTTGATCAATAGAATTTGATTTGTACCTTTGGCTTTTGCAGTTCTTCCCAGTCCAGGTGCCGTGGCAGTGGCCGCGCGCTGAGGGGCATCCCATGGGTTGGAACGTCTGTTGATCGATGTTTGCTTTCATTCTTTGAGGCCTGAAGTCAAGTCATCAGGTCACCCTGAATTGGCGGTTTGGATTTGGATTTGAACCCCTGCTTCTGGTGGGTAAATGGGAATCCAGCAACCTAAGCACCCCCAATCGAACTCCCAATTCTTGGGAAGCTGATTGATCGCCCTTGATGGCCCTCGGCTGGGCTCAAAGTCAGACCTCCGGTGCCCTCGTTTCTCTTATTTTATTTTGGAGGGGGGTTCCCATGAAAGAAAAGCCCAACGAAACCCTTTCTTCAACCATTGCAGACTTGGGGTCTGCAGTTTGAACACGCTCGACTTGGCCAGAGCCTTGGCGCATTCCATCCATCTTGAAATGCGGCTCTCTCCCAGAAACCGGTATCGGTCTTCGCCGGCCGCCCCAGCTGATTTCCTTGTCGTTCGCAAGAAGCCTGCACTTGAGAAGGGGTTTGATTGAAGCGCCATTGACATGGGATTCTCATGGGCAAGCATGAAGTAACTTTGAACTTGCTCCCAGACTCAAGGCACCTGGTGTGCCTGGGAATTCTGACAGGATGTGCCTGGACATCACCAGGGTGCCCTAGCCCCATGGTCTAAGCAGATTCATGTCAACATGGATAAGTGGCACCCTTGGTGAATAAACCGAGCTGGGGTTTCCCTTTTTGACCTCTATCCCTGTCAGCTTGCTGCGGAACCCACTGCAGGCCTTGTCCGGAACGGCGAACCTGGGCGGCCGAGCGGCCGGTGCGTTGGCAAGGTGCGAAGCGGTTGGTCGCGAGTGAGCAGTTGAAAGGCTGAAGGCCAATTCATGGCACCTGGCCTAGATTTCGTTATAGTTTGGGTTGCAAACCCGCAGAAAACAGAAGGCAAAGAACCCTGAGCTGTCCAGCGGAGCAGGTGCCACTTTGGCTCCGGTTTTTTGATGTTTTCGGGTTGGACCCAGCCTCGTAGAGCCTCGCAAGGGTAATTCCCCAGGAAGTTGTGCAGGCGCATAGCCCTCCGGACGCAACATGCAGGTGGCAACCTCTGATCTTTTGGCGAGAGCTGTTCAACGGAGCGCTTGGCCGCCAGAGTTGAGCAGTGCTATCGGCGCAGATGCCGAAGCTTCGGCACCTGCAGTGGCTCAATCACTCGGCGGGAATGGCGACCTTAGACAGCCATTCCGACACTCACGCCAAGTGTGAGACGTTGCCAGCTGCAGCTTCGTTCTTTGCAGGTGCTTGCTTACCTGCCCCACACTGAGTTCCGAAGAACAACCCGCGGCAGGTAGCATGGAGTGTTGTGTCTATTTGTTGGTTTTGGTTTGACTGGTTATTTTTTTGTACACATTGAACATGTCAGTTTCCCGCTCACTAGCAACAAGCTAGCCGTTTTTCGGGGCCCAAAGACAAACCCAGCCGGTTCCCCGCGGCTTTCTTCAATCTGGCCCGCAGCCCCCATTGTTCCGGTTTCCGGCAAAGACACTTGTGTTTGTTTGTGTCCGCCGGTTGATAGAGCTTCAAGCGCAAGCTTGTGCCTATTCGACACTGCTGGTGGAATAGCGGGCGTTCCACCCTGCAACAAAAACGGTGACGCGCAAGCCTCGAACCCAAAATTCAAGTTCCATTTAGCTCCAGGAGCTGAAGGAGGAGTCTACTGGAAACACTCATGAGTGATACTCCGGGTTTGCCAACAAATGAATCCCTGTGAACACATTGGCCGATGAACCATTGAAGTAACTTCTGGTTTTTTAAGAGTCAATCCTGAGTCCTTGCCATGGAAATATGATTTTGCATGTCTGCAGTGTTGTGGGAGGAGGGATGGCCATCTGCACAGCCCAGATGAATTTTGGTTGGGAACTCCTGGGACATTTGTTTGCTTCAAGGTTCAGAACCTGTCGATCACACTCTTGACGGGTTAGCAAGGGACAATCCCAACCATAAATTGCTGCACCCCGGGTTATACTGGGTGTTGATTGTGACTCACATGTGGAGGTCGGTCCTACCGTTTCGCCAGATCCCACGGCGGCCCTCGGATTCCCGGCGCTGGGGCCTGCCAACGGGACCTGCGCCGCGCTGGGACTTGCGGCGCTGGCGGACTCGCCGCTGGGGGATCGACAGGCGCGGGGACCGGAAGGGGGACAGGTCTCGAAGCCGGAAGCGGCCCCTTTTTGGATGGCCTTCGGGGACTGGCGTCCATTTTTTGGTCCATGGGTAGGGTGTCCGAAACCAAATCTAGGCATTTCGCCATCAGCTGAAGTTTAGGTGAATCCTGGGCCTTGTGCTGGTTTCCCGAATCAGAGGTGACCCCCCAACATGGGGCAGAACCCGGCGCCGGCACTTGGGTCCCAACCGCTGCTTTTCACGGTTGGAATTGTGGACATGGTTGAAGAAACATGAACAAGCAGGAAAGTGGGGGGGGGAATAGTCCTTTCACATCGGTAGAACCAACAAAAAAATGGTTTCGTAAGTATCTTGCAAAAGGCTGAAACAAGCAACTTCCTCAACCTTTCAGGCTTGGGGACACCTGATACCTGAAACCCATTGGGCTGACCTGGGCTTCAGAACTTTTTTGGGCAAACCATATTTGTGGCAAACAAGCAATATGCAGTTGCCCAGTGGTGCCCTTTTTACCATTTTTTGGGGGAAGGTCCCCCTTTAAAACCAACAACACAAAAAGTGCCTTTTTTTCCCTTGGCCACTGAGGCAAAGGGTTGATGCCCTTTGGCCAATCCGCGCAAGCTGAGGCTTGCTGGCCATTTGTTGCATCCGAAAGGCTTCTGTTGAGTCAATGCAAGGGGCTGAACAAATACTAAAAGCTTACCACCTTCAAAGTATCCCAGGACCCTTTGCTAATTAGTTAAACTCTTATAGTATTAGACCCTGGAATGGAACTCCCAAAAACTCCCCACCCCTACAAACCCTCTAGAAGTACAAACCCTCTAGAAGCACCAGCAGACTCCCTACAATCCCTCAAGAAACCCCCACAAACCCCTGCAAACTCTCTGGAAACTCCCTCGAAACCCCTATGAAAAACCCTACAAACTCTCTAGGCACAAACTCCCCAGAAAGCTGTATAAACTCTCCAGGAACCCTCACAAGCCCCTACAAACTCTCTAAACTCCCTCGAAACCCCTATTAAAACCCCTACAAACTCTCTAGACAACTTAAGGAACCCCACAAACCCCTACAAACTCGCCAGATTTCGGTCGTCGACTCGTTGAAAGGTCGACCTCTTCGACCTTCTGCCGCGCGAAGCCCTGGCCGCCTCGCCTCCTCCTGCGAAGCGGCCCTTCGGCCGCGGCAGGGCGAGGCTCTGGGAGGCGGCGAGGTATGCGGCCGGGGACCCAAAACATCGGGAGGCCGGGGCAAACATTTTCGAGGCATCTCCCTGTTTGGAACCTCCAAAAGTTTCCAACAGTGGCAGCTTGCCTTCATTTGAATTTCCCGTTTTGGATTCCATTTCTCCTGGCTTCAAATGGGAATCTATCAGCCCAGTGGATCCCAGTCACTTTTCTACATGTGGGTAGCCGGCGATTTTCCTTTTGGAGTTGCCTACTATACAAGTAAATGGAATCACTGGGGCATGTGAAATCATGTATTTTGTATGGATTGGACTCAAGCACACGGAGGAGGTGTTTAATTCCCGGACACGACTCACGTCAACATGTTGTGAAACGAGGTCATATCAGAGGGACATCTCAAAATTCAGATCAACCTCAACGGGGACCCACCCTGAACTTCACGTTTTTTGTGTCCTTGAGTATTCTGGGTTCCGAGCCATTTCCCTTCAAGGGAACTTCTAAAAGTTGCGATCGTTTCCACATGGAACCCCCCAGTAGATTTATCAACTTTGGTTTGGGGAAATCCAGTGAGCCCTGTTGGTTTGAGGCTGTTTGGAGTGAGTTTAGGGTTGGTTTGGTTTGGTTGTCGGTTATCCTGGTTTGGGGTGGGTTGTCGGGGTTCGGGTGTGGTTTTAGGTGGGTTTGGGGTCAAACCACTTTGGGGAGTTTTTTCAGGGTAATTTTGTGTCGCTTTGGGGTGTCTTACTCTGTTCGGCCCTTGGCTTGTATTCTGTTTTTCCCACTGAATCCATGTACCTGTGTAGCAGTCAACCAAGCAAAACACCCTTTAAAAGCCAAGAGGACAATGGCTGGTTACCCACCATAAAAGTGACTGCAATCCACGCACGCGCACGCGCGCGAAAGCTGCCACCACCTGCCACCTGCCACCTGCCACCTGCCGAGCGGAGAAGGCGTGCGCCTGAGGCAGGGGTGCCCCCTGCAGCTCACGGAGTCCTTCGAGAGCCGGCGCCACAGCGAGCACTTCGCTCCCCCCCAAGTGATATGTAAGGCCGAAGGGAGACGGAGAGGGGGGCCCCGTCCCCCTCTCGTGTTGCCTTGCTGCTTGTTTTTGCGGTCTTCTTTTTTTGGTAGGCCAGTGTTGGTGTTTTGCCTTGCTGGTCTGCTTTTGTCGTCTTGGTCTTGCCTTGCGTTGTTTTTCAGGCTCGGGTTTGCCCGTTTGATACTGACGTTTGTGTTTGTTTGAAGGCTGCCCTTTCTCGTTGAAGAGGAAACCAAAAGGAGGGGCCCGCCATTTTGTGGGTTCTCAGATTCAGATGTACCCTGTTGGTTTTGTTTGTTGTAATTGAGACAGCCCGAGCAAACTACATGACCTTACAAAGACATCCGGTTTGCAACATGGTCGGTCAATTTGCTTGACAAACATCCCTTAGTCCATGGTCAATTTGGCTGCTGCTTCGGGGGACACTGACGCTGTCCTTGCCTGAGGATGGACCCGCAACGGCTCTGGCACGCAGTGTGGAGGCCGCTCGCTTCTCGTTCGGGGGGAGCGTGGTGCAAATGGGGACGTCTGTTGATCTTTGAAGAAAAACGCCAAAGGGAGACCAAAGACTTTGAAGGGACTCCAAAGGATGGCATATGGTTCCCCGGTGGCAAGGATTCATTTCCTGGGTCGGATCCCCCCCTTACAGGCGCGATGTTGTTTAGGTCTTTCAGAGACGCCCATATCGCTTCCGAATATCAAGGTGGAGGCCATTGCTTTTCCACCAAAGCCGTAAAGTTAAGCACGCTGCGCTTTTACATGATGTGTTTTTTTCCGGTTACTTCCATTCCATTCTCAGAAATGAACATTGTTTAGGTTCTGCTGTTGGCTTTTGTGGGAACCTATATATCGATACTCAGGGAACTTGAGCAATTGGAGGTTGCTTAACGCACTGGCGCAGAGCTCATAGGTTTTGCGAGCCGTCTGGGCGATCCCCTTGGATCGCTTGGATCGCGCCAAGCGCGCCCTCGCTAGGCCGTGGGCCTGCGAGGCGTCGGCTGGACTTGACTTGGGATGGACTTGACGTGGGGCGGGGGGAGGGTGTCCTCTTTGGAGCCATAAGGGTTTTGCAGGTTCCCGAGTTTGGAGCAAGACATCCAAAAGAGCCAACCAAGTTTCTTATTTGGGTGTGGCTCAAAATTCAACAGGAGGCGGTTACGTAGGTTTTGGTCCATGTTTCCACTTACCAGGGTTCCATTGTAGTACCGGTTTTTTGAGCCACATCCACTTGAGTGGGGGGGAGTCCTCTTTCGAACCAGAAGGGTGGATTCACCCTTATTGTTCGTTTCAGAAACCAGACTGATGTTCCTTGGGTTTGAGACCATTTTCTGTACCGCAGAATCCTTGAGGATGGGTGAGGGTGCGGCTAGACCCATGTTTCCAACCATCATGGAAACGGACAGGGAGGTTCCCCCAAACCCTCCTGTCAGCCTCCATGATTGTTGGCGGGAGGGGAATGGACACTGACAGGGGCCTTCTTTGAAAAGGCAACTTGCCTGTCAGCTTCCATTTTTTGGAAGCGAGTTTCCCGGAGATGAAACAATGGCCCTGCAAGCCGGGGTGGATCAACACTCAGGATTCGCTAAACACAAACCACAACGGTTTGGAACACAATATGGCCATGGGGCACAACCTATGGCTCCATTTGGGGTGGATGAACATCCATTTGCCACCTATTTTGGTGTTCACCATGTGCAGGGGTACAGGGTTTTGACCCACAGTCATATGGGTAGTTGATGGTGCAATACTAGAATCTAGCATGCCGGACTGCCGACCATGCCGGGGAAAGTGACTATACTCGTTATTTGTGGCCTTCTGTTAGCGTTGGGCAGGACGTGGTGGGGCGCTTCCATATTCTCCACAAGAACCTAGGGCAATGATTCCATGTGCCCAGTTTTCTCCGGCCTCTTCAGGGACCTTTCAGGATGGTTCAAGCGATTTGTTGCAGCGGAGTGTCGAACGGATGTGTTGAAACCCGAGGGTCCTCACGTTAGGAACCCCAACATGAGGCGCCCGGGAGGCGGTGCAAAATTACAGATTCTGGTGTTCCAAGCCAGAAGACACACCCAAAAAGGGAAGTTACACCGTCAGGCCATTGTTCAGTGCGACTCAGGGAGGCGCTCAGAAACCTTCCAACCCCTCTGGGTTTCCAAGAACCTTTCATGAATTGTGGGGATAATCTTGAGGGGGCGGGAAATGCATCATTTTCTCTACCTCTGTGGGAACATACTGTGAATTCACAGAATCCACCAGTTGGGATGGATGAATTTGTATGAGAAAAGCCACCAATCTTAACTGATGCTGATCGATTCGCAGGGCCCCCCGCCCAGAATGGTTCTCGATTCGACACACGCCGATCCATTTTGCAACCTTTTGCAACCTGGCCGGCTGCAAATTGTTCGCGTGTCCACCCAACCTGGAGTTGGGGTATGGGTTTTTGGTGGCTGCAACATGTCCATCGTGCCCATGGCACGGACGGAGGGACGGAGGGACGGAGGGACGGAGGGCCGGGTTTGGTCCAGGCGGATCCGGAGTTCCCGGAAGTTCTGGCCTGGTGCCTCAGACGCTCGGAGGGCCGGAGGGTTGGGTGCTCAGGGTCAGTGGTCGAACATCTGCTATTTTTTCGAAAACCTCCAGGTTTCATTCATGTTTTGGGGAGGCGGTTCTCCAGGTTTCTTTTTTTTTTGGAGAGAGGCGGTTCCTTTTTTTCAATTTCTTTTGGAGGCGTTGATGTTGTGTCCGATTTTTTTTGGAAGGGGAATTTCCTCACGCTGAGGCGGCCCTCGGAGCACGTGGCGCATCTGCCCGGCTCTCGCCGCCGGGGGCGGAGCTGAGATTTCATCGGCCCGAGGTGCGGAGTTTGGGGGGGAGTCTGGGAGGTGGGAGGTGGGTGTGGGGGGTGGGGGGGGGGGCTTTCTTTGACCCAAGTTCAAGGGAGGCTCCTGTAGGGTGATGTTTACCGGGCAAAGACTAGAGGGAGCCTTAAAGCTAGAATCTCTCTTGAGATGATTGTCCATTTTAAGATTCACAACAAGTGGACCACAATCCAGAATTTTGCTCGGGGCAAAAGCACGGTAGTCAATTTCCATTTCCAGATTATTTCCGGTGTCCGAGTAAAAACGCGGTCGGTGTCGGTTTGATTACCCTTCAACACCACCCGAGTCAAAGGGTAACTTCTCCAGTCTTCCCAGGCATCCTTCTTTCATTGAGGCTGGCAAGGATGAAATCGGAAAGCAAGTTGTGTTTCAGGCCATGGCCAACTGTGAGCCGAACTCCGGATGATGCATCCTTCAGTGGCAAACGGGGCCGTTGGTTTCCCTCTGGTTGCCGCAAGCAGCCGCAAAGAAGTTGTCCCCCGGAACGCAAAGCGCACCACCATCAACCAGAATTCAGCCGGCCCTGGATGGGAGAAACCGGTATTCACTGCTGGGCTACTCTAGGCTCGACATGTTGGGAGGAACTCCCATGTGTGAGTCCACCCGTTTGTGGACCAGGTGTTCCTCACTCAATCCCGGAGTTCCTGGACGTTCTGCTTTGGTAAGACCATGACTTTTTTGGGTCTTCTCCTCAAAGTAGGTGTTGTATACATGTTTATGCACATATTTGGGGTAGGCTAAATGTTCGGCTAAATCTGAAACACGAGACATACTCCGAACATGCTTTTCTGTGTACCGTGACTAAGGTCTGACACAGCCTCAATTTTTTGAGAGGCTCTTGGGGGTGTCCCCTTGTTTTTGCAAACACACAGGTTCTGTCCAAAAGAGTCCGGTTTGCATTTTCACTCTAGTTTCTGGACTTTGGTACTTGAGGCAGTTACTTCCAGAAGTAAGGTGCTGCCCCAAATGGCTTGTCCATTTGGGCGCTTCCTTACATGGCGGCCCCTGAAGTTCTGTAGGGGGGAGCCTAAAAGCCAACCGGCGTACTTGCTTCCTCAGCTTGTGCCCTTTAGACAGCCGAAGATCATTTGAGTTGCAAGCAAACTGGCTTGACTTCTTTGGCCAAAGCATTCAAGTGATTGATGGAGTACAACCCTTTCGAAAGCAGTTCCAAATTTGGATGACTTTTTTGCAGGCGAGGGGTACCTTGTTAATGACTAATATGCGTTTGTTTTTTTCGCGAGCTCACCTGAGAGTATACCGAGCTCACCATGAGAAAGGTCCTTTACTCGGGGATCCAAGTCTTATTTCAGCTTTTGGAATTGCAGCAACATTTGCAGATCACTCAAAAAGGACCCTCACAAGGACCGGCCCTCAAAGGACCGGCCCTCAAGGATGGGAGGGCCCCTATGAATGTGTGCCCCGCGGATAACTCGAAAGCGGGTGTCGGGTCCCCGGACCTACGGGGTCACCGGCCGGAGGCGGGTGAGTGCGGAGCTGTGCTTTGGCAGCTGGAGGGCGTGCAGCAGGCACCGGGTACCCGTGCGCGGAAAGGAAAAAGCCACACCACCCAGGGATTCCATTTACTTGGTAAAGGCAGGTAACCACCCTTTGAAACCCCCAGTTACCCGGTGGTGCCCGTTTTTCCTTTAATTATCTGTGGAAGGGTTCATCTTTAAAGTCAACCAACCAAAAAAGGATTCCCATGGCCACTGGGCATCTGAGAACCCACAATTGTTTGACATGAGCCAATTGATTCCGGATTTTGGACCTCCACAATGGCGCAACGGTTTTCCCGTTGGTTTCCCAAAAACCAAAAAACCACAGGTGCCAACTCCCCAAAAAGACGAGCCACCCATTTGGGAATGTCTTTTTGAGGTACCCCTTTTTCGTGGTGAACCCAAACCAACAAGGAACGCCCACCAAGTTTTGGGGGTCCCCTGAAAAAGATAAACCCATTTGTTTTCCTTAACCATTCGGGGCCGCAGGTCATGTAACCACGTTCATGGACCTACCTTGAATCGCAGTCCGGGTGGCGGAATTCGGAGTGTTGCTTCGTTTTTCCTGAACATGGCATTTGGAGCCTCGCTTTCGGAAGCGCTTTCTTCTAGTCTTGCTTCATGGCCTGAAAAGCTGCAAGCAACTTGCGGATTTCAAGCGGTTTCCGCCTGGCAGGTCCCTTGAGACTCACTCTTGAGGGTTCCCTGAAACATGTTGAGAGTCACAAGGGGCCGCCTGAAGACAAAATCCAGGGACAGAAGGCAACCGCCAACTCAGGAATTGAGTCCCCCCCGCCCATGTTGGTTTAGTTATACCCAAAAAATCATTTAATTGCCAGTTGTAATTTCCAGAAAAAAGTGAAAGAAACTGCTAGCACCCCCCAACTGCTTTTTGGACCATGCCCTAAGTCGCTGTCCAACAAGGCAGTGCCCCTGCCCCGACGGAGGTGGTGCTCCTCCCTTCGCCGCCTGCGGCTTCGGCTTCAGCGTCCAGCCGGGTCCTCTCGATTCGGTCGATGTGGGAAAAACAACGCGAGGAACATATCAGGACGGTCCCAACCGCTGCTTTTTGGGCAGTTGGCATTTTGGACCTGGTGAAAAAGGCAGTTGCAAGTTGCGGGGGTGCTGGTAGGTGTCTTTTTTTATTGCGGTGGATTCCTGATTGACCCGGTTGTAATACGTGAGTGTCTCTTCCCGAAAACTGGCGTCGGTTGTCCTTTTGATTTCCTGCACAAATCACACAACCAAACCAGTGTACCCTCAAAAAGACACCGTATTCAGATGTTGATTCTAGAACTGTGTTCTTTAGAAAAGGGCAAATGACAAGTGAAGCGACCAGCTGTGGGTCCTGAACAGGGAAACAATTGTGCTATTCGAATATGTTGGCAAGGTTCATTGATCTTGGGAACAATGAAGTACAAGCCCGAAGCCTCTGGATGATTTTCATTCAGGGCGCGCCTGGTTCATTTTGAATAGATCTGGATTAGGCGCCGTGCGCCCTCTATCCACCAGGTTGATGTCGGGGGTAAAAGCTACAGGGTGAACCGAAAGATGGAATCAAACCAGGTTTGCATTATCCTAAGAGGAAAAACACAAACCAAGATTGGACGTGCCTTGAAGGGTGGTCCTCATTCTCTCATTTGCAAGCCACGCGGAGTTGATGAATTTGGGTCTGTCTGAGCTTGTAAGGGTACGCTTGTTGAGGTTGATTTAGAGGCCATAGTGGCCCCCTAAAAAAGCAGTCACCCATGGGTTTTAGCAGTTGCTTCAGCGACGTGGGTCAAAGGTCAGGTAGCCGACCCATCTAAAACGCGGGATAGAAGGATCCAAACAGGTCCCGGCCAGGTTTCTTGTTTTGTTTGCCTGTGGGGAGAGGATGGGTGTGGGCGGATGTGGGGGGATACTCTCATGTGGGTGTGTCTTTTTGAGGTGGCCTCTTTGTGGTTGAAACCAAAAGGAAGACCAAGTTTCATTTTGTGCCTGCTTGCAATAGAAATCGGACCCCTTTTTGGATGGTGAAAGGAAATGAAAAGGACACCACCTTACCTGGAGGAATTGGTCCCCAATTTAAGTCCCCCTAATGTTCGGAAACAACTATGTTGTAATTCAGAGCAACTCGGAGCCAGTGCAGGCTACGAGTAGCAGAAAGTGACTACCATCAAGGGCCACCTTCCCCATCCCCTTGGTGGTTTCAACTGCTGCTTTGGGGATTTCTTCTGGCGTTTCTGGAGGGTAACTGGTCAGCTAGCTCCAAACCCAATCCAAACCAATGAGAGCGAGGCTGAAGATTGGAAAGGGTGCCGGCAACCGGCGCGGGATGAGCCATACCCAAAGCCTGAAGGCTCGTAACAGAGACCGCCCATAGTGGAACCCAGAGGTAAGCAACAAAATTATCAAACTGGTGGACTTTATGTCGTGTCTGGCACGGGGATATGCTTGATTTCCCGTGTGGCGTGTCTTTGAACGCAACCCACAGGGGCGTCATTAAATTTGCCTGCCTCTTCCGGGCTACGATACCTTCCGCTCCTCCCAGCAGAGAAAGTGCTGTCTGCTGACCTTGCTGAGCCATCGGAGTTCTGGCCTTGCTGCTGGATTGACTGTGGCTTCGGCCGATTGCACAGATTGGGCAGACTCAAGGCTGCCTCTTAGGGACGACAAGTGCAGGGGAGGGTGATTTGACTGCAAGTCAACGAGGAAAATGCGCAAACGCGACCTTTTGTTCCATGTTTGCAGAAAATAGGGCTTGTGGTGCCATCTTCTGTGATACCAAGCAACCCCTTCAATTGACAATGTAGTCATGGGGATTGCCCATGCTATCACGGGGCTATCTCCCACAACCAACCAACAAGCCAACCAAACTAGCCAACCAAAGCAACCAACCAACCCTTATAACGTCAACACAGCCACCCCATCGGCCAAGGCCTATTGGGACCGGGACAAAGTGCCAGGGGCCTCAGCAAATTTCCGTAGCACTTCGGTAAAGATTATTTATTTTGTCGCTAGATGTACAGGAACAAAGCCGAACCCCGGGTGTTTGTCGTTTTTGTCCCAAACTTCCTGTATACAATATATCATATCTGTTGGCATATTATTTTCCCCAGTTTAGTCGCACCCTCAAAATCCCTTTTCGATGGGTTGACCGCTGGTCAACCCAAACCTGGCTGAGGGCCAGTCTGATCAATATCTTCCAGGATTGTTCGTCGGGGCTTTGTTTTGAAGGACGGCCAGTCAGGCACAGGGTTCCCAGTTTTCAACACTAAACCGGGCTCCGGGCTCCAACAAGAGGAGAAGCTGATCTCTGGAATCATTGGAGCCAATCGATTCGAGGTTGGCGGGTTCCGGGTCCCGGGTCAGGTTTCGGTTGGAAGTCCGTGGCAAATTGGATGCGCTGAAGTTGCCGGGTCCTTGGCAAGGCGTCCCTGTTGGTTTCATTGAGAACAGAGGGCCCTGATTTGCCCCGGTTCAATCATTTGCCAGCGCCATCTCGGTTTAAAGGGCACTCGTGGTCCTTGGGGCTTCGCAAAAACAAAGGAGAGCCATCCGTTGTTGGTTATTTTCCTTCTCCCTCTCGACCTGAAAAGGGTAGCCTCAAAAGAAGACACACGCCCACACCTGTGACTGCCTTTTTATTCCCCTCACACGATGCCAGCTGCACGAAAAGCAGAAAGCGCGTCTGTTGGATTCGCTTCTTCGGGAATCCGGACACCTTGTTGGAACAAGGCTTCCACCCCGGAATTGGTCAACACCTGGGCTGGGCGTCCCCTCAATCAAAACCCGGGTAGGTGAAGGTAGGACAGTCCCACCGAGAAATGGGTGCAGATATTCGTTTTGATTCTTCAAGCGATTTTGGGTAATCCCCTTAAATACTGGGTTTTGATTGTGACTCCCTTGGGTGTGCATCATCCTTTGGGCCAAGCAAATTTGTCGAGGTGTTCAGGGGAATGGCTCAAACTCACCAAGAGTGTGGACATGCGTTGGTTCACATTTGGTTTCAGGTTGACAAACAGCGGGAAGACTACTGAGCCTCAAACAACACACCCGTGTGAGATCGGGTCAAAACTTCCAGTCGTTGGTCTATTTGGGAGGAACCTCGCCAACTCGTCCCATGTACTCTTGGCGAAATCCACGCGTCATTGTGATGGACTTCATCTTGGTTATTTAGACTAACTTTTTGGGAAATCAAGGGGTTTTCCACTAACCCTAAAAAGTTCAACTTTTGCAGGGGGTCAACAGCAACCAAGAATGAAAACCAAAGGAATCCACCCACCCCCTATACTGAGAAACCTTCTTAACATGACCTTCCAAGGCCTACTCCCCATGGGAGGATGATGAAGCGGATGTCTTCTCAGTGGTTTTGGCATCAGGGGAGGCGCCGGGGTGATAGGGGCGCCGGGGCCACTTCAGGAAGCAACCAAAGGAAACCATGATGTCTAGGTCCAGTAGTGCCCTTCTCAACCCCTTTTTTGGTTGGGAGGGTTCCCCTACTAAAATAGACCACAGAAAAAACAAGTTGGTACCCTTATTCTGGCCTCTCTACTGGAGGACCTAGATAGAATACCTGGAGAAGAACGGCCGGGCGGCCTACTTTAGTGGGAATGATACCACTCAACCATTTTTGTTGTGTCCAGCCGAGGAATGCCTGGGCATTGAGCACATGTCAACTGTGAGGTGTTGTTCATTGGATAGCACTTGGTGGGTTCAGGACTTGTTGAACATGGTCAACCCCAAAACGGAATGGTCACTGACCGGTGATGTCTTTTTTTCTCCCCCGTGTGCTATGCGTAACCAAGGCTGCTACAGTGGTAGCTTGGAAAGATGTCTTTGTTGGTATTGATGTTTGTTCCATGAGATGTTGGGTGTTGAATGATATTATTAAATCCCTAAAAAGAAGCTGAAAGGGGCTCTCCCAAACGTAACGTACCTGTTCCCCGCATTGGATTCCATGGTGGGGTGCATTCCTGCACCAGTTGGGATCTATGCAACACCTCCATTTGCTTAGGAACATTTTTTTTATTTTCCCCTGTTGGCTTCAAAGCGAATCTATCACTGCGGGAAATATGATTCTTTTTCCAGGAACATGGACAAATGGGATCAACCATGTACCAACTGGTGCAGGATTTGGTTTATCCGCAGGGAGAGAGACCTCAGGGCCAGGTTCACCTTTAAACTCAACCAACAAACAAAGGTTGCCTTTTTTTCCCATGGCCACTGTGCATCTGAGGAGACGGCAGATTTCATCGGCGCCAGGTGCTGTCGGTGCCTCCGAATTGGTGGTTCTCATCCCGCTGCTTGTCGGCCTCGCTGAGTGTGTCCGCCAGGCAGGCTCTCGTGACATGGGGAAGATACCCAAAAGCCAGGGGCCGTGTTGTTTTTTGGGGAGAACCCCCCAAATTTTGTTTTTTTCCTTTCGAGTTCCCTTTACCGTGGCAATGAACGATTAGACCTTGATTTCCATAAAAACCATAGTGGTGCAGTAAATGAAAGCGCTGGGACCCGTAGTCAAGGGGAGTCGTCCCAAAACCACAAGCAACACCCAGGCAAAAGCCCAATTTTGAAAGGGATGATTGCACAGAGCAGTCAGGGCTGTTTCTGCGACACCAAAAAAAGAAGCCCGGTGAGACTCACAGGCGGTTTTCCCACTTCAGACTTGAAGGACTCAACCCCTCGTCTTTCCTTGAACCCCCAAGCTACCTTCGGCTTTTTCATGTGGTCCCTGGAAAGCCATGAAGTGGGTTCCCCCAAAAGACAAACACCCAGATGCAGAGTTTGATTTCTCCCTGTAATTCGCAACCCAGCAAAAAGGTGACCAAGTCGAAGCTTGTTTTTGTTTGGTGTCCCACTTCCACGTTTGTTGGGAATGCGTCTTTTTTTTGCGGGGGGTCCCTGTTTTGGTGTGATGTTAATGAGGAACCAAAGGACATCATTCAATTGCGGCAGCCCCTAAACAAAGACACACCCATTTTATGAAAGTCGTTTGTTTTGTTCCCCCTTTTTTGTCCCGCGAGATTTGCCGGGCAGCGTGGTCTGCAAATCCGGTCTCGCAGGCTGGGGGATGCGCTGCAGATGGAATCTCCGGAGGATCCAGTGCCGGAGGAGTGGGAGACGTGAAGGGTGCGGAGTTTTCCATCACAAGTTGGAAGCAAGGGAACCCTGCGAGTGTCCATGGTTGGTGGTTGGATGGTTGGATGGTTGGTTGGGTGGTGGATGGTTGGATGGTTGGTTGGATGGTTGGTTGGATGGTTGGTTGGATGTTTGATGGTTGGATGGTTGGTTGGATGGTTGGATGGTTGGATGGTTGGTTGGGTGGTGGATGGTTAGATGGTTAGTTGGATGGTTGGTTGGATGGTTGATGGTTGGATGGTTGGTTGGATGGTTGAATGTTTGGTCGGTTGGTTGGATGGTTGGATGGTTGGTCGGATGGATGGTTGATTGATTGATTGTTGGTTGGTTGGATGGTTGGATGGTTGGTTGGTTGGTTGGTTGGTTGGTTGGATGCTTGGCCGATTGGTCGGCTGGTCGGTTGGTTGGTTTAGCAGGATTCTAGTGTTTTCGGTTGGCTTATTGTGAAGTACCATGGCGTTAGATTGCTGAAGAGAAATTGTCCATGGTTTGTACTTGCTCTGCTCTACATGGTTGTGGGTCAAAACAAATAGCAGGTTTTAGCCGTTGTTTCCATTTACCAGGGTTCCATTTGGCGCACCTATTTTTGACCCACACCCACATGATTGTGCCATGGTCTTTGTTGCTGCAATTGTTTGTCGTTTGTGACTGTTCCACTAGCACTAATTAGGGCATCCAAAGGCACTCTTCATATAATGATTCAGTTTCAAAAAACGAGTTTACTGGATCTTGGGAGTTTGAAGTTGGCACACCTCCCTAGTAGACTCACTGCCCAAGTTCTTTGACTTCATTTATGTAGTTTTTGTTTGGGGGGACCAGTGTTGTGGCAGGCGGAAAGTTCTTCAGTGGCACCCAAGTCCGTTCGAAACCCACCTTAGACCAACCCAAACTAGCTCACCTTTCTTCGGTAAATCCGCGAATCAAGGCCCTGAAGCCGCCAAGACCATCCTGAGCCCGCCTAACCCCACCCCAGTCACGACCTACCCCCCCCCCCCCGAATCAGTCCTAACCCCACCCCAACAAACCCCACCCCAGCTAACCCCACGCCACCTAACCCCACACCACCTAACCACCCCACCCCCACCATCCATAGAACCAGCGTCACACTTCCAATTCCCAGCCCCCCACAAACCGGCCAGGAGTTTACGCGAGCTGCGCGGGAGCTGGGCAACACCAGCGAGTGCCTGAGTGCCTAAGCAATGTGCAGAGTATCGTTGCCTTAGCCACAAGAAAAACGCCAACATGCAGACGAAGGTTGGATCATATTCCTAACCCTGTACGGATGCCGAGCTTTCGCCGTGTTGGTTCATTCACAATGGTTTTGTGTAGCGTCCTTTCGATGCACTACCTGACATTGGAGTAGTTAGACTTCTTTGAGCTGCAAGCCCCTAAATTACCAAAAATTGGCCAGTATTGCCGACCCCATATTAATCAACCCCATTTTACTAATAGGGGCTGGTCCCCATCCAACAGTGGTGATTCCCCGCTAAACTCAGGGACACGCCCCGTTTAATTTCACTGGGGTCGGCGTTAAACGTCAGTTGACATGAATGGCCGGCCACGGTCTCTGGCCGGTGGATCCGGCACAGATCGATTGGACACCTTTGCGCATCCATTGAAGCTCCCCTCAGTTGCCCAGTGGGTTGCTTCCTTTTTCCCGTTTTTTGGGGAAGCAGCCCACCAAAAAAAAGCTTCCCCTTGGGGTAAGGCGTGGGGTAAGGCTTCCCCTTGAACCTCCACCGACCAAAAAACGGGTGCGGATCCTTCTTTCCCATGGAAATCATCTGAATGCATCTGAGTCCCAAAGGTCTGTTGTTCGCCTTGGAGGACTCAGGTGGTGGCCAAAACGCGCACATGCACATGAGGACGACATGGGGGCGCCTCCCGATCTTGAATATGGGTGTGCGTATTTTTTAAAGGGTACCTGATTTGTGGTTTCTTAAGAGAAACCAAAAGGCAACGAACACCATATGTTGAAGCATGTTCTTTATCTATTGTTGTTGATTGTTTTTTTTTTGGGGGGGGGGCCTAAAGAAAGACTCGCATATGTCTCTTCCAGTTTCACTTCCCTCGAGTCAGTCTGCATGAACTTAGCACCATTTTTTCCCGGGAGGCTTCTGTGTGCTCGCTGGCCCCAGCCGGGTTGATGTGGCCAGGTTTTCAAGAAGGATATGTTTCCCCAAGCTTGGGAGGATTTTGCAGAGTTTTGGATTCGTACGGCTCGTGTCCTTTTACACCTGGCTGGATGCTTGCCAGATCTGCTCTGCAACGGAAGGGAACTCGAAACAGGCATTCCCAAAAAAGGAGATGTCACGAGCCACGGGTTTTGGGATCCATGTTTGACAGGGGTATGGTTGGCTGCTGTTCGGCTGCAAGAGGGATTTTGCTTGGATTATGATGTTACGTTCCAACAGAACCTCTAGACTTGTGGCTGCTTCGTTCCAATTAACACACGCATGGCTGTGGGTCAAAACCAATGGTACCATTTTGGGGAAGGTGCACCACCCATTTTAGTCTATCTTAGTGGGGATTGGGATGTTCACTAGGGGTACGATTTGGATTTTGACCCATGGCCCACATGTATGGTTGCTGCAAGCGCCTTCAAGCTCAAAGCATCTCCGTCGTGATTCGTGCGCCACTTTGCCACCATGCGCGAGCTCGTGCACGTCCAGGGTGGTCGCTTGGCGAAGTGGGGCAGTTGTTCGGCACCTTCTCTTCCATTTGCCTTGGAAGGTATTGTTTTCTCCCCCCTGATGGTTTGGAAGGGAACCTATCGCTGGACATCTGTGGTTTCCAGGGGACCTCTTCGCAATGGCAGGTGTTGGTTCTTGCTTGTGCCTCGTGGCCTCGTGGGACGTAGCGCAAGCCCTGGGCCCTGCCGTGCAATCAGATCGCACGGAGAACCCGGGTCTCATGTTCCATGCCCCGGGATCAGAGCAGACCCGGGCGGGATCTTCGGAGCCAGGGCCAACTTCACATTAGAAAAGCAACAGCTCCTGTTGCCATGTGGGATCTCTCGAAGATTATCCAAACACTTCTGTGATACTTTGGGGAATCTGCTCCTTTATATGGGGTTTGTCTTTGGGGTTAGGCCCTTTTTGTTGTATCACAGATTTGTGGATTCCGTTTCCCGCCCTGCGCGCTTTGCGCGTTGGCGGAGTTCTGCGAAACCAAAAGCCACGAGGTCAGTGCGGCAATCAGATCGGTGCCAAGTTCTGGGAGGTCATCGCGGACGAACATGGCATCGACCCCACAGGCGGAAGTCAGTCGCTGAACGCCCGGGCGTCCAGTGCTGTCCATGTCGCCTTTTTGGTTGCTTTCAAACAAACACCAAAAGGAAGCCAGCGATTTAGTTATATTTCTTTTCTTTCTCTTTTTTTGGGGGCAGGGTGTCCGATTCCTAAAACGGATACACCCACTTGTCTTGGGGGAGGGTCTTCCTTTGAAGTGCAAATTCCCAAGCCGTCCAGACCTTGCGACTCGGGAAATCAGAACTTCAAGTCATGGAGGTTGGCTCCTTCGGTGCGCAACTCTGAGCCAAAAGTCTGTTTCGAGTAAAAGAAGCTTGAGGGTGTCCGAGCCAAGAGCTGCTGTGTGTGAGCCTAAAGTGGCGATCGTTTCAAGGGAAACCGCCCGCAAAATGTCCAAATCGTCAGACTTTGGTTTGTGTTTGGCCGGTTTTGAGAGGGAGAGATGGGCGCCGGAAAGGAGAGGTTGTTTCAACTGGGCAATGCCCCTAGCCGACATTGGCATCTTCGTACCTGGCCACATGTTATGGTACTGCTATATTATGTATATAATATATGTTTGCACCCTTTACAACCATGCAACATGTTAATGCTGTTTTTGTTTGGGGGGGGCTTTCCATTGTTTCAACCTCTTGGTGTCTTCTCGTGGTCTACTTTTTCATCTTTCGGTCGAAGCCATAAACCGATTTGCCCATTTGGAGGTCATTTCCGCAAGGGACGGAGCCAAAAGGAGGCAAGGCTTGCCCTGACCTAAAGATGAGGGAAATGGGGCGACCCGTTCGGGGGCTTCGTGTGACAGTTTCAGTGAATGGCGGGATCGGAAGCCCAATTTTGGTTTTCCTGTGGCTTCAGGTTTCACGTTCCAAATTGTTCTGTAACACAAAGAGGGTCAAAATCTAGGTCGCCCAGTAGTGCGCTCTTGCCCCTTTTTTGGGGCAGGGTTCCCCTAATTATTCAAATAGACTACAGAAAAAAAGGCTACCAGTATTTTAACCTCTCTACTAGGTTGTTTGAACAGTGCAACCGAACTCGACCAATATGAGACTCCAAACCCTGGCCGCAGGTACCTACCACGGGGACTCCGATCTGCGCCGAAACTGATTTCAGAGCCGTTTTGGTTTCCCTTGCTGGTGGTTTGTTTTGTTTGTTTGTTTGCTTGCTTGCTTGCTTGCTTGCTTGCTTGCTTGCTTGCTTGCTTGCTTGCTTGCTTGCTTGCTTGCTTGCTTGCTTGCTTGCTTCGGTTGTTTGTTTCTGTGTTTGTGTGTGTGTGTGTTTTTGTTGAGGGTCAACTTTGCAGGTCTTGTCAGAGACAAATTTATCTTTTGGGGTCCCCCTCTTTTCACACCTACCAAAATGGGGAGCCCGTTTTTGTCGGCCTATCAGGAGTAGTAGGTAAGGAGTTTTCCCTGCACTAAAACGAATGTCTGCTCCGCTTGCATACTATAGTGGTGACTGGAAGCGCTGCGTGTTACGATGCATTTGTTTCCAGTTTGTGAATCGTTGCTTTATAGCAACATCTTAGTGTCGCTTCGTAAGAAGGGTGTCTTTTGCTTAAGCGGCCCTTGACCCTTCCGGGTAGACCATGGCTTTCACTGATATCTCAGTTTCCCAGTGGGTTGCTTCCTTTTTTCCTTTTTTTGGGGAAGGTCCCCCTTTGAAGCAACCCAACCAAAGAAATAATGCCCTTTTTTCCCCATGGCCACTGGGCATCTGAGATATGTTTCGGTTCAGTCCGTCAGGCAGCTCGAGCGCATTAACGTCTACTTCAACGAGGCAACTGGCGGGCGCTACGTTCCGCGTGCCGTGCCCCTTGGACTTTGCTGCGTGTGTTGTCGCCGACAAGTTGTTAGCATAGGTGAGTTTGGCTAAAAATAGATGGCACTGGTTTAGATGGGGTTTATTCCACATACCAGGGTTATCTATTTTTCCAATAGGCCACCTATGGCTGTTAGTTTCTCTTTGGTTTGTGGCAGGAGCATGTGTGTTGCCTCTTCTCAGGCAAGATATTCCCGGACACACAGCGCTGCCTTTTTTTCCGGAGAGGGGTGCCCTTGAAAATCCGCTACCGGAGAAAGCATCCCCCACAAAAATCAGGTGCTCACTTCCAATCGCCCATTTTTTTTTGGATCACTACTGGACACATATTTATTGTTTCTCAGCAACTATAGCAGCTCTTTTTCCTATAGCATTATAAAACTGCTATAAGAGCATGGTATCATTCTATCAAGGGTTAAGAATATATAGTATCACCCTATAATCATATACTTGTTTTTGTTTCTCGGGTGCCCATTCTATGAAGAGCACACAAAATCTCCCAAGAAAGACATCCGAGGCTGATGGATCTTGAGCCAGGCGGAGTCGCGAGTCGGGCGGCAGGGAACCCAAAGAAACCAGTCAGATATTCAGAAAAAGTGCAGCTCTTTTGGTTCACCGCAAAACGGCAGGCGTTTCCGTGGCTCGTCTTTTTTGGGCTCAATTAAATGTTGGTTGTCCTTTCAGTTTCCCTTTTAAAGCCAGAGAAAAAGATGGTGGCAGTTCAAAATCAAGAACAGACCGGCCAGTCTGCTTCATTCAGATCCAACCCTGGCAGGCACCATGGACAGTGTGAGAGCCGGACCCTTCGGCCAGCTGTTCCGGCCGGACAACTTCGTCTTTGGGCAGACGGGGGCCGGCAACAATTGGGCCACTCGAAAGCACCATAGCCCTACCATAGGTGGATGCGGACGCAGGGGTCGGAAGACTACCATGCGCTCTCAACCGCCGCTTGTGTTTTGCCACGTTTGTGCCTCTAGCGTAAAGAGGGATTTATCACATGGGTTTCGGTTTGTCTTATGGGCGAACCTTCAAAAGGCTTGATGTCCTTTTGGTTTCCCTTCGCCAAAAGCAGGGCTCCTTAAAAGATCTCCATTTTGCAACCATTTGAAACAT